GTACAAAGTCATACAGGATCAGTATAATAAATATTTATACTTCTTCACAATTAAATTTGCTCTATCCAGGAGGATAATACTTTTTTAACAACAAGCTGTAATGAAATAAAAGTAACGACTTTCTACATCTTACCTTTTTTAAAAAAATGTAATAAGTAGAAAGTACAGATACTTGTGTAAAAATGTAAGAAGTAGAAGTAAACAGCAGGCAGAAAAATAATTACTCAAGTAAAGTACAGATACCCAAAAATTCTACTTAAGTACAGTAAATAAGTATTTGTACTGAGTTTCTTTACAACTCTGAAAAAGTCATCTGAAAATAAATGACTCCAGTAAAGCATGAATGACCAAATGTGATAAAGTATTTGTACTTCATGACTTGACACCGTGTATTGTGAGTTTTGGCCATGATGYTGTGATGTCCAGCAGCTCTTTTTCTTTCTTATCGCTGCAACTTGTGGACTCTCTAATCCACATAATCTCGTGATGCTTCTCTAAATCCATCCAATCTGTCGCGTGCCTGTACTTAACAGCCCGACTTGATAAATCTGGGTCAAGAAGGTAGAGTGGAGATGCAGCTGCTGTGCACCAAGACTTCAGCAAGCATCGTTTCACAACTTTAGAAACATTTTTAAGATCAAAATCCTCCAGGAGCGTATCGACAGAACTGCATGGAAGCTTGAGGTTCAGAGAGGAGGATTTGAGGATTCCACCWAGAAAATGGAACTTCAAGAGCACACCAAAACCTGCTGGAGCCAGTATTTTTGTGATCAGCCACAGATGGAGTTTGCAGAGCTGGAGGAACATCCAGATCCGTACTGCAGCTTCTGGACTGATTCTGACTCTGCCAGAGTCAAGAGTGCTCGATCGTTTGCCGTGGATGCCAGAATAAGACTTGATAGTCTGAAGTCTGGGTGCAAGTCACACCGCTGCGACGTGGACATCAAGTTCTACAAATATAACCGAGAAAAAGACCTGTGGGTTGGAGAGGACTCACCGACAGAMGAGTCTGCTCTGGACCTGGTGGAGATCTTAGATTTAGAGGATAACATGCTGGATGAGGAGAGCTGGTAGGTACCATCAGAGATCTGCTGATGTTTAAATTTTAACAGACAACTCTGAAAGGATTAAGTTCAATCTGCTTTGAACTGTACAGTGTATAATCTAACTTTTACGTAAAGTCAAAGTTAGATAAGATGTTTCATTTTTCATCCACAGGCTGTACAAACCTCAAAGTCAGCAGTCGTTAGCGGAGAAGGAGTCTGCCCTCAGGTGGTGTCGACACGTCTTTGATAACCCGAGCCCTGAGATGGAGGCAGCCCGCCGGGTGCTGATGAACAAGCTGGAGCAAAGTTAGAAAGCAGCACACTTTTTTTAATCAAACGCAACTGAACTAGAAAGAGACTTTTAACAGTTTGATCACAGATTTACCTCTCGTTGTTTGTCAGGATCCAGATACGACTACTACAGACCTGCAGCAGATTCTCATCTCTCTCCCAGTGGGGACGAAACATCAGGCCGCTCAGCACCCAGTGACTCTGAAAGTTTAGGTAATGATGTCATCAGAGTCATGTGGAAACTTGTTTTTATACTGCAGAACTCAACCCTGATAAAAAAATCATGATTAAATTGTACGTTTTTTTTAAACACACAATGAAAATATCTGCTGTACATACTTGTGTCCTGTCAGAGGTAGTTTGTGCACAAAAAACTCATAGTTGGTTGTTTATTTGGAGAGTGTAAGATAATGAGGTTTAAAACTATTATGAACAAGATGGTACACTCAGGAATTTGTGGGCAGAAAAACTTTACACTGAGATATAAGTAAGTTTTTTTTTTCTCATTTTTGTCCAGAGAGATTAAAAATACAAGAAAGAACCCAGTAAAACCTATCAGTTCATATTGTAGTTTGCAGAAAAGATTATTTGGATTTATTGAAATTTTATCGTAAGAGAAGCAAAGCAGGGAAGAAAACAGATAGAAAACAAGGAACATGACCCAGATTATCAACTCGTTTGTTAAATATTTGCATGTGGTGGTGTTTATTGAAGATTATGCTGCATCAAATCTCAGCAGAACATGAGCCAAAGCAGACTTAATTTGAAATACTTCTTTTTTTTTAAAGAAATGATTGGCAGTAAAGTACAATGGAAAAATGCCTGAAAGTTTAACACATGCAGTGTGTGTTTGCACAGATCATAATGAGGTGAACCTCTCCCACAACTCCATAACTACAAACTACAGACTGCAGGATATCTCAGATGTTCACATCTTGGCCAAAATACAGGAAGACAGTGAGTAAACAAGTTTTTTTTTTTTTCATTTCTACCTGAAGGGTAAAACCTTTTTTTGTGTTTCAGGTTTAAGGCAGGAATATGTTTCCATACCTTCTCCTGTTCTGTTCAGGAGAAACCAAGAGACACAAAGAGCTTGTGACTTAAATAAAACCAAGGATTCAGATTCTTCTTGCTGGGAAGCTGCATCACCATTACTGAGCTCTTCCTGCTGCGAGTCACCAACATCAGTGAAGCAGGGCTGCCAAAGTCCTAAACTGAGCAGACTTCACCAACAAGTCACCCAGTTCAAGCTGCTCAGACTGGCTCAGAATCCAGGTAAAAAGTGGACATTGATTCACCCCCTAAATGACTCTAAAGAACCTAAAACATAGATGATTATTTTTTTAGTGGATAAAACACATACTGTAGACATTAAAAAAGATGTACTGTTTCTGGTTTAGCCACTGGCTAAATTCCTTCATTAATCCCTGGCAAGTAAAGACAGGCGTATGTATACATTATGGAGTTATATGATGCAGTGTAACACGATATGATCAACAGAACACCTATGTTAAAAACATCATTACACTTTCACATCAGATACTTTGAACCCACAACAAACTCACTGTTTACCCTTCAGCTGTGGTCACAAGGTGTGAATCATGAGCAAAAGAACAAGATCTTGGATACAAGTGGCTAAAATGAGCTTTCTCCTTAGGGCAGGGCTATTCAACTAGCAACCCATGGGCCACTTACGGCCCACATGTGACCAAAGCTCGGCCCACCAACTGGTTCTTTAATCTCTTAAGCCCAAACTCCTGGTTTTCTACTTTAATTGCTATAAGTTCTTTTAGTTAGCTGAAGATGAAACTGAGATAAGTAAAATTAAAATCGGTTGAAAAATTTGGCAAGACAGAGGTGTCAATTTGTGTTAAATAGGAGGCATAACGTGTTACTTTTGTTTTTGAAATTGTTTCAATTGCACTACTTTTTAAAATTAATTTCATTTATAGAGAAAAACAAAACAAAAACCAGTTATAAAAACAAAGTAGGCCTAGATGAAACACTGAAGGAAAAGCGCGCAGAGAGAATTTATTTTAGGGTTCTGTATGTTGTATTCATGACTAAATGCAACAAAGTAAACAAATTCAAAGGTAGCAGGTTTGTAATTCTTGTTTATTTAGATAATGACTTTAATTGCTGGATGTTCGGCTCTTGAGCCTTTAGCCTGCAGTAACCATGGCCCCAGAACAATAGCTGAATAGCCCTGTTAGCTGGTACTCGATTGCTAAAAAAGAGTCAGCTGAGGTGGTTTGGACATCTGATTTGAATTATGATCTCCCTTTAGAGGTTTTTCAGGAGTGTCCCACTGAGAGGAGACCTCGGGACAGATCCAAGCTCACTGAAGGGATTATGTTTCCTCTTTCTCAGGGTAATGTGTTAGGAACCCAAAGAAGGAGCTTAACAGGGGCGGTTCTAGGGGTGGGGCCACTGTGGCATTGGCCCCTGCTGAAATCTGGTTGGCCCCCTGAAGTGCCCCTGTCCTGTCAGTCATCTGTCCTTTGCATCAGAGCAATGGTGGTGGCTGCAGTTTCATGCCCAAACACTAGAGGCGCTAATGAGTCAAAGAGTAAAGTCCAGCATGGATCAATCAGGAGTATTCAGGCTTTTTTTTATTAACATTACATTACGTTACAATTGTTGGAACATATGTGACCAGTTCAATTTATACACCTTACCCAAACCAAGGATTTATATGCAAGAATGTTGAACAAATACTTGGCCCCTCTATGAATATTGTGGCCCGTTGACTGACCCTTACTCAGAAAAATCCTAGATCCGCCACTGGAGCTGAAGTGTGTCACTGGGGAGAGGGATGTTTGATTTGCTGTAAATGTTAAGAGCATAACTCTCATTGATACCTAAAAGAAAGGTTTTGTATGTCTTCCAGAAGCATCACCTGGTAAGACGAGGTCACCTCTGGGGACGAGCCTCCGTTCCCTGCAGGCCATCAGGAACAGCCGAAGTTTAGAGGTTGATGATTACCAACCTGCTGGCTCTCTATCAGGTCTGTTTCCTAAAAACAACAAAATGCAGTTCAAACACACAGCTGACAGATGTACATTTCAACACTTTGCATCACTTGCATTTAATCAACAAACTCTCCCTCAGGTGTGTTATCAGCCAGAATAGGATCAGCCGGCTGTGGGTCTCCATCACTTTCGGCAACATCTCTCAGCTTCAGTAATCCGATGAGAGGCGCGTCGGCCCAGATAACGGCCATGAAAAAACTGCAGAGGTCTCAGTCTCTCAGKCCCAGCAGGATGGCTCACCCTGCCAGGGGTTACCTGTCTGCTCATGGACGCGTTTTTGCCTCCCCAGAGAGGCCGACCACTGCAGCGTGGGGCAGGCACGTGTCATCCGTTCAACGGTGAAAGACTTCACTGATAAACATCATGAACGCAGTCAAACCATAAAGAAAGATAAAAACATCTATCTTAGAGTGTCTCRGTTACAGAATYTYCTTTGTTTGGAGTTTCTGTTAAAGTGATTTTCAAGCTACTTGTAGAAACATCGACACAGACGTGGGAAAGTGCAGTTGAGCTTTACTTCAGTGTGGCGAGCTGAAAGATCTGCCTTTGCAGATTTGTTGCAACAGGAAGTGTGCAGCTCACCATAACAGGAGAGAAACCAAATGATTGAACGCTTCAGAAAAGGAAGTGTCATTAGCAGGAAACAGTGGTGTGGGTGTGCTGTTATTATTCAGCGTACACGTAATGACTGTATTTTTGTCAGCATAGTGTAAAAGTTCCAGCTCTGAAGGCTCATTTGTCTTTGTGCTTTTGTTGYCTTTACCTGAGAGCAATAGTTCTTCTTCTGTGGTTTAAATAAGGGCATAACTTCCAGTCTACTATTGGGGAAATTATACTATCTCCCTATTTATTTATTTATTTATTGAATTGTTTACTTTTTTGAAACAATTCAGAATATTTTGGGGTTAAAATACATTTTAATGTTTTGTGATTAATTAATTTTCCTGTTTTCTTTGTATTTATTCTGCACCTTTTCTGTTCCACGTCAGTTTAATTATTAAGAATAGGCCAACCTTTTTTGCTTTATTGTGGGTTTATATTGTCGGGATCAAATGATTGTGGGGGGTCGTTACCCCCCTGCAAATTACGCCCATGGGTTTACAACCTTTCACACATCAATGGCAGGTTACCACAGTCTGTTTCTTTGTTCTCTGGGTTAGTTTTGCTTCAGGGAAATAAAAAGCAAAGTTGAATAAAGTTTGTAGTTGGGAGTGCCACCTTTTCTGAAACGTGTCTAAAGAAAACACATGGAGAGAATGAAAATGAGCAAAATATCTCTGGAAACATCCCTTAAGATGAATCCTTTTTTAAGTTCAGTGTTGTAAATGTAAAAAATAAATAAAATAATGTTAACAATTTATCAGCAGCTTTTTAAAAATTCATTCTCCAACATGGTGTCTTCAGGATTTTCCATAAATCACTTTAGATGCATCCTCACTGTGACAAAACACAATACCTTTGATGTGACGAATGAAAATCTTTCTTAGAATAATTGTATTTATTTTTATGAGGCATATTAAWGTTTAAATTGTGGCTCGTTTTCTGCACATTTCAATATAAATTGCACAAATCTTTATTTTTAACTTGATCAATATAAGACTAATTTTTCATTAAATTCCTAATAAATAAAACTTTGCAAAGTAGAAAATTTTTGATTTTGTTTTTAATGAGGACTTTATTTTTGTATCTTTAGCAAATTTAGTATATTTTTATCTCGTCTCTCAGGTAGAATCATGTTTAATACCTGGGGAGTGTACAATGTGACAAATGAAAACAGAACAAAAGAAGTGAGCACGCTTCATGTGTGAACAGCATGAAGAAGAAGTCTACAAAAACAGAGTCAACTCAAATTTACAATGTGCTGCTTTGTACCCTAAAGGTTCCTCAAACAATAAACATCATTTACAAAATACAGAATAATATACATATTTACTAGAGAAATGACATTTCTCGGTTGTAAGTGGGATGTTTCTGGATCATGAACAGATATAAAAAATAAAAAATAAAAAGCCTAAACATCAGAGTCCATGTCGCTGTCACCTCCAATTGATCGAAACTCTTCGCTCTCCTCATCTTCACTCAGTTGGACCTGAGAGAGCACAGCTGGGCCTCTCCTCCGCGCTTCGTCTTCTTCGTCTTCCTCCTCTTCCTCACTGATGCCGTATTCCTCACCGTTTCCCATGCTAGAAGGCTGCATCTGACTCCGGCTCTCCGTCTCTTCGTAGCTGCCGTAACTGAGACAAATAACGAGGTGTTTGTAACAACAAATTTAAAAAGCCATATTAAAAATGTCATAAAATAAAATTATAAGTGAGGAAATGTTGTACCTGATGTTGCTGTCCTCCATGTGTTCATGTCCCTCCCCTTCGTAGGACATCATGCTCTCATCCTGCTCCATGCCCATCCGGGCTGTGTCCTGAGCTCTCCGAGGAGGCGTGGGTCGCACATCGACCTCCCTGTCAGAGTCGCTGCCACTCTCTGACAGCTGTATGGCTGCAGGGACACACAGCATCAGGACGGTTCACACAGGGTGACAGGGAAGACTCAGTAAGAATCAAAGAAATGTTGCGTTCAGGGTTCAATACATCTGTGGAAAAGCCACAAACGCTGYCACATTTGAAGATATGTAAACGTGGACTCACAGGAGAAAGGGTTGTCTCCCTCCTCTTCACTGGCGTCATCCTCTCCATCAGACATCAGCAGGTCCTGATACAGAACACTGGACTGAGCTGGGTGGTTCGATCTGCCATGTTGTCTGTCCTCATCCTCTTCGTCCTGGACATGCGGCCGTCTGCGGGGCGGCAGCAGCATGTCATCGTCATCTTCATCCTCCAGGTCTCCTTCAGCATCTTCGGCCTAAAAACACAGAATCGGGCGAGTTTCAGTCATTTCATTTCTGTGCTTTTTAGCATTATTAAAGTTACAAGTTTAACTTGAGGGATGTTCTCTGACTGGATGTAGAACGGAGAGACACTTCCCCTCCAGTACTTGTTGCAAAGAGCTGACAGTCAGCTGCGTTTAGACTCTCCTAAATTTTTGTTTTAAATTTAAAACTCTAAGTATTGGTGTTTATTGTCTGGTTTTACTATTACAGCAGTTTAAAATCGGACTACTATTAAATAAACATTTCAGCCTTATTTTTTAGAAATATTAGCTAATTTAAACCAGCGTCGCGTACATAAAATATGATGCTGATTGTAAAGAGTGACTGTTACATTAACCTGTCTCATTTTATCTTTCGTATCTGTTTAGGAAAATTAAAATACCTAAACGAAGAGCACTTTATATTAAATATATTTACTAAATTATGCAGGTATAGCTATAATATGACCATTATTTTAGCAATATGTGAATTTATCTTAGCAAATATATTTCTMTATTTGTATAAAGACATTTATTTGACGTGATATGTTTTAAAACTACAACATGGTGAAAGCTTTATATTTKTTTGTGTAAAGATAATGTCTCATACCAAGTCGACACCGTGCCTATTAATAAATCATGTCTCTTACAGGAGCAGGAGTCTTGGGTTTGCCGTCATCGTCCTCTTCAAAGCCCTCAATATCCACATCTGAGTCTTCCTCTCCAGGTCTCCTGCCATGCCGTCCCTGAGAGCCACAAAAAGTAAAATGAAAACAAAATCATCTCACTTGCTGACAAGTAGAGTGAAATACTTCTAAATCAACTTCTACATAAAAAGGTACAAAAGAAGTGCACAATGAAGCTCTGAGGATGGACTGAGGAGAGGTGGCATGTGGTGGTGAGCCTTTTCTTGGTCTCTCTCCATACCTGCCCCCCTCTCTTTTCTGGAGCAACCACTAGAGGTCCCTCAGAGAAAAGGCCGCTGGGCTCCCTGGGCAGACTCCCTGAAGCCASGCTGTCAAACAGATCAGCAGGCTGGCCCGCGCCAAGCACAGAGCGGCAATACACAAAGGAAGAGGCGGGCCGTGAGGGTAGGGGTGAWGGAGAAAAAACAAGTTGGGAGAAAGAAGACACTACAGTGAAGAAACCAGACTGCACAAAATAAATATTACGATCTGGAAGGGGAAAGTTAACACAGTGAACAAGTGAAGAAAAGGGCAGGAGGAGAACTACAGGATGTGGCAAAGAAGCTGCAGCAAAAGTTCACACTATTTGGAATATTTTATACAGATGTAGCGTAAAGTCTATTAAGAGTGTAAGATGTATTGGTGTTAACAGTAGAAGAAGACTTATGTTTACAATGGTGGAAAGAAAAATGAGCTTACCTGCGGTGTGTACGGTCCAGGTGTCATCGGGTCCAAACTGTCCAAGTCGGCCACATCCAGAGCTGCCTCCTTAGCGGTAGAGATATCCTTTTCCAGCTGTGTCAAGTGTTCATCATACTGGCAACACAAAAGGTTCATTACAGAACATCCCAACCAGGGTTACTAGATCTGACTGACAGTTTCCAGCCCAAATCTCAACCTCTGCTGAAACTCACGTTAAAAACATACAACTATACACACGATAAAGAACACCGGCAGTGTAAACACAACTGCACTGAAACAAACAAAAAAAGGCTGCACATACAGGCTCCTCACAAAATATGCAATCAGGCAACAAAACAACAAATAGTATCTGATAAACCATAGACTGCATATATAGATGTGTGACAAGCGACACATGTTGCAAACCTCAAAGTTTCTTATATTCTGACCAGAACCAGACTTGTGGTTTTTTTTTTTTTTTTTTGAGGCACCATGTTCTTTCATCGTCACGAGGTTGCACTTGGATTTCTGTTTTACAATATTTGGTTAGGTTTTAGGCTTAGTTGAACTGACTTGTACCATTTCACAGTGACACTTGATTAACTGATGACTATTAACCATTGATGATGTCACGTTTGACAGATTCTAGACATTTCAAAAATAAATGCAAGGACACTGCATCTTTTTTTAAGTGTTTTACATGTCTGCAACACAACTACTTTGATAGATATTCCTTGTGAAGACTTTCTAAAAAATGCTCCAAATGTGGTGACAAGCAGTCCAAATTTTAACAACCCGCCCAAAGCTGCTCATTTCAGACCAACATGTTAAAAAGAAGCCCAGTTAAGCTGAAACTCGCCCAATCTGGCAACAATGATCCCTTAATACTTCCAGCATTCTTCCTGCAAATAAAAAGGCAAACAATTTCAACTCACCTCCGCCAAGGTCTGCTCACACACACTGATAATATCCAGGGCTGTTTTGGTGAAAGGACTGTCTGAGCCTGACAAAAAAAACACAGAACAAGATACTAAATCCACTTTTGCTAAAAAAATTTTTAAAAAGTTGGACACTTTTAGGAAAATCTTCCATCAGCTCATAACAGAGGTGATAAACGTGACTTACCGTTGTACTTGATGCTGTTGGCYTGGATGAGGCTGATATCTGAGAGAAATGCTTCTCGGTTCTGGTATTTATGTTTGGAGATGTTCTGTTAGAACAATGAGGTGGAGGTGTTAGTTAAATTTATTTTAAATACTGGTAAATATTAAGTGTGTAAATGACACATCAAAAGCCTCTCACCTTCCGGATGGTCTCCAGATCCATGGGGTTTACAATCACCTTATAATAATCTGGCACAAACTTTTTATTGACAGGATGGTGAAATGGCCAAGACTAAACAAAAAAAAAAAAAGAGGAAACAGAAAAATAGAAGTTAAATATTAATCTGACTCAGATCATTGCTCTGTACGATATAAAAAGAAAAGAGGACCACTCACATCAGGAACCGCCATCATTTTCTGAGTTACAATGTTGTCCAGGATGAAGGAGAACGCCACCTGGTCATCATCATCCAGCAGGGGGTTGATGGCTTTCTCCAGCCTCACCAGCCGGTCCTCCTTCTGCGGTCACAGGCAAAAGAGGTGACGGTTACCAAGAAAACCAACYAGAACCTGAGTCCTGACTGCTGCCGACGCTCACTCACCTCTTTCAGTTTAGTGTCGCACAGATCCAGCATGGACTGCGCCACTTGTGTTATGGGATGCTTTGCCCCTGGGTGGAGCAAAAACAGATTTTATCTCAGCAAGCTGACGTYAGGCTAAAGGTTAAATCAAGTAGGGTGATTATTTKTTTTTTCTTCGTGTGTTTGATCCAACCAATTGTAATCAAATTACCATTGTAGGTAGCGCTGTTTTTGACAATAAGCTCCACTGCTTCGCGGAACTCCTCCCTCGACGGGTACATCCGCTTGCGTACATTCTCCCTCAGTGTCTGTAGATCCATGGGACGAGTGATTATCTTGTAGTAGTCCTTCACAACCTTGGCGTTGACCGGTGTGTGGAAAGGATACGTCTGTAATAATGAGACYGACATTCAGATGAGAATGCACAGARGACAAGGAATAAATCGATATTGTTGGTGTTGGACAGCTCTTACGTTGGGATGATCCCGCATGTCGTTGATGATGCTTTCGAGGACAGAGGACAATGTAACCATCGGATCAGTTCGCCTGCGGTGGATTGCTTTATGTGGTTTCTGTTAATATATGTATAAAATAAGTGTAACACATCAGCTTAAGTCAGCTATTACAAATTTAATGCCAAATTAAATGAAAATGAAGACTGATAAAACTATAAATAAAGGGGATGCTGTATTACAACCAAGTATAGCATGTGTGTCACTCAGTGAGTAAACTCAAGTTTAATTTTTGTCTGTTTATTGAACAATAAGTAAGTTTTTTATTGCTGCTACTTCTTYACATTTAAAACAAAAAAAGTTACTAAAACTCAAATACCACTCTCATAATGCTCAGTGTTTTCTGAGTATGAGAGTCTAGAGAAGAAATGACTTCAAACAATTAAAATCCACAAAAGCTCCAATTTCAGTGTTTGTGTCAAACCAAAAGCTGCTCTGGGATCAGTGTGAGTATGAAGCTGGGGTCTGTTTCAGTTTTGTGCTTTTCGCCCTGCAGTTTGAACATTATTTTGCACAGAATGCACCTGACCTCATCTGTGTGGGCAACAGACAGTTGTGAAAACACATGTTGTACAGCAAACTGCCAGTAAACCTGACRTTACCTATAATTAACCACAGAATGGTTTGCTAGCAAGCGTGTATAGCAGCCGCTAGTAGAAAGTAGCTTTGATTAGGCTTGGGTGGTGTAACTGTATTTTGGAATACCGTGGTCCTAAAATATGGTGGCGGTATTTGAAAAGTAACATATTATTTTATTTATTGAATTTAAGACATTTTAAATCTAGATGTGTGTCATCACACGTGGTACAACAAGGCTTACATTGAGGTAGTCACAGTGGACGGCACTGCCCACTCGTCTTTTCTTCTTTGGAGGCAGCTGCTGCTTGGGAAACTTGAGCACCAATGACTTTCTGCGCACCTCATCAGCACTGCCAAAAGAAAAGAGAAGTCAGCAACTACCAAGAGCTGGCAGCACAGAACACACACTGTTTACGATAGTATCTGACTAAAAAGCAAAGTTTTAACCTTTCAATGAGCTGCTTGCCCAGCACAATCTTCGTGCCCTCCACCTTGATGAGTTCCTCGTTGTCGTTGTGGATGACGGTCTTTTCCAGCTCCTCTTCTTGCTCCTCTGTCATGGCCACTGGGTTAGAGGGCGGGGCGTTGGTTTGGTAGTACAGCGGGCAGAATTTGTTGGTTCTCATGTGTCCGATGGCGCCACACGCGCCYCACTTCAGCTGGACGAAGGCAAACAGGAAGGAACACGATGATAGTCAAATAAAAAAGAATAAGTTACCGATTCACTTAACATCATCATTAAAAGGTTAGATTTTGCATTCAGCTGGGTGCAAAAAAAWWAAAAATAAAAAGTCAAAAGAAATGTTTTTAGAACTGAATCAGCAAGCTTACTTTTACCTTGAGGTCTGGTCTCTCCTTGACCTTCTTGGTCTTRTTCTCTGGGGGACCTTTAATTTTATCCTTTTCCTGGTTTCTCTTCAGCCTCCGGAGTTGCTCCTGAATCCGCCGGCGCTCCTTCCTCATCTCTTCTCTGTGCTGCTCATCGAAGAGGGCAAACTTTCGTCTGCGACCACAGAGAGACACAATGAAACATATTTGACTTTTACTTCCTACAAAATAAGATTTCCAGTCAAGTTGGAGGCCAAAGACTACAAACAAAACCTTCATCTTATGGTGAAGCAGTTAATTTGATAACACACAAATTTAGGCTTCATTTTTTACATGAATATTTTCATTGATGCTTCAGTTTTAGCAATTAAACACTATTTATTAAAAGTAGTCTAGGTGGGGAAATAAGAATGCTGTAGTTGTAACAAAACAAAAATAAATAAATAAATAAAAATATCTGTTCTATTTGCAACACAACAATAATGAAAAACAKCTCTGGACCATCTTAAGTACGGTACTTAAGATGAGAGGGCAGGACGACTGAGATTGAGAAGCTAATGGTAGCTAATGTTAGCTTAGCTTRTGCTGTTGTGTAGTTAAACTCGTGCAAATGATTTATGTAAAGTTACTCTCATCTGTGTGAAGTAACCCCAACTGCTCAGTGAACCAATCAATGATAACAACAAAACTCACATGAATTCATCATCCTTAGTGGTTCTGATCCGGGTGTAGGCGTCGATGACAGACGCTTTKCGGACCGTCTCACAGCGGACGTACTCCTTGCCGTCCTCGTCCTTGAAGGTGCGATAGATCTTGAGGCGGCGTCCTGTAGCTGATGAGTTGAGGCTGGTGACGGAAGACGTGTCGTCATCTTTGTGGGAGCTGGTGGACAGAGAGCTGGCTGTAAAGTGGAGAGACGCGARGCTCGCAGTTAGACAGGTTTTAGTGACGCGTTAAGATCTTTGCTACAGGAAACACCAACATACACAAGCCTTTGCGTCGCTCTTTGCGTCCCTTGTTGTCACGATCGCTCTCCTCTCCCATCAGCATCCTCTGCAGCTCCTTCCTCTCCTGCTCCTCCCTCTCTCTGGACAGCTGGGAGCTGGTCTTTTTGTTCTGCAGCATGTTCTCGATGTTCTTACCCATCTCCTCAAAGTCACTGTCTTCAGCTGAACTGCTGTCTGTGTCTGTGGACAGCACCTCGGTGGACTCCAGCACTCTGGGGTAGAGGTGGGAAAAAGTGACAAAAGGAGTGTAAAACCTGTACGAGCAGAACCCAMAGTGAGAAATGTGATTTTAAACAAGCGTCTCACTTGTTCTGCAGGTCGAAGATCCTCTGGCACTCTTCCTTGTAGCGCTCCTGGTGTTCAGCGACGGAGAAACGGGAGCCTCTGGCGAACTTACTCATCGGCCCCTCTCCTGAGCGAGCCTGCTCGGTGGACATCGTTCTCACCACGTCGATGACCTCCCAGCGGGAAAGTTTCTTGATCTGACACGGGGGGACAATAACACAATCACTTGAACAAAAATCTAACAAAATGTCTGCCTTTTAAAGTAAAAAAGAAAAGCTGATTGTGAAATTATCTACAACTGCAGTGAACACAAATATTATAGTTCAGCACAAAAATGCCATGTGATCTCACCTCTTCCTCTGGAACGCCAAACTTACGGAGGAGCTGCTTGGCGTTCTTAAGTGAGAGCCTCCTCAGATCAGCGTCTGTTCCTGTTACTGTCTTCTTCACAGGCTGTGGCTCTTTGTCATCCTAGTGGTGAAAAAGGAGCCAAACTTAAACAAAAACATACAAAAATAAAAAGCTGATGCACTGCCTTTCAATGCCCCATCTTTGGCCTAAGACAGGGATGTCCAAATTGTGGCCCCTGACTTCAGTTCAAGAATTATATTAATTTGTTTATTAATTTGTCCCCCCGGCACAGGTGTTTGATGGAGACTTTCTATTTATTATTAGGGCAAATTTATCACAAAGTAAAATCTCATAATAAAAAATATTGGCAACAATACCAATTATTTGTCTTTAAATAACCAGACTCGTAGCTTTTTCCACATCGATACAGTGACTTCTACTCAAAAGCTGATTTTGCTACACTCCAATCTGCTTCTAATTAATTATTAAATTCGTCTGAATACAGCAAGCATTTTCAACTAAAGAGTCACCTAAATCCTGACTTTATTGACCAGAATTGACTAAATTTGGTTATTTTTTCCCCCAATTGAAACCTATAAAATTGCTAAATTTCTGAAACCCGCAAAACACATTTAAAGTTCTGGATCTAGATTTAATTTCCATTTCCAGCAATAAATCTGACTACTTTATTTGTTTAAATAAAGTATTCAATGCTTAGTTTATTGTTGAGCAGGTAAAGGACAAATTTTTTTGGCCCTCAACTCCCTCTGACTTTACAATTTTGACCCATGTGACAAAATGTTTGGACACCCCTGGACTAAGATCAACTTAGGTTATGAAATGATGGAGTTGTTACTAAGTGCAATCTCAAATTTAGAGTATGTGTTGTGAATGACTCTCAGCTACAACCAAACATTTCTTTGTTTTGCTTAATATCTGTAAAACTGACTGAGATATACCAGATTTACTGTTGATCAGGTATCATCTGTAATTAAGTTTAATTAAAATCCGCCCAGTGGTTTATGAGATATTTTGTTAACAGTGTTGACCCAAATAGTTAATGGGGAAAAAATAGACCTTGTGAAACCTGTTAGTGTTGACACTACCACACCAAAATGTTAAGGTTTTCATTTTGTGTTTTCTTAAGTGGCAGCCATATTCATTCATGTGAATTCCCAGATTTAATTAGCTGTAGATGTGTTAGGGTTAATAATTATAACTCCAAGTTTTATTCAAATTCATCCAGTGGTTCATGAGATATGTTGGGAAACAGACTAACAAACACACAATGCAGACACAAACATTATTACCCGCCTTTGTCTTTTAGCAGTGGGCAATAAAGAAGCACAGTTGGCAAGGTTCCATTTTGGACAGGCTCACCTTCTGTTGGGTGGGCTTGTTGGGCACTTTCACATATGAGAAACCCTCTCCGCAGCCTGTAGGATCTGCCACACCTGTAACCTCCAGCAGGCACTTCCCCTTCATGGCAGAAATGAAGGCTCTTGTCGTGTTCCAAGGAGCTGTCCGCACCTTCGATGAGTGACACAAAATTACTGCTGATCTGTTTTCTTTGATTATTTTTCTGTCTGCACATAATAATAATAATAATTTTAAAAAAAAAACAACAACTCTGATTGATACCTCATCATCAATCTTCATTTGAAAGTCCTCTTCATTCTCCTCTTCTGGTGCAAAGAAAGATTTCTCTCCGTATCCGGCGTCCTGCAACAGCCCAACAACTTATGAAACCGTAGTCACATTAAAGGTTTGACCTTATCTGGATGTAGAAACTGTTACCTTTAGCCGCTGCTCTGCCACCAGCATGCTGTAATAGGCGCAGCATTGCTCTGGAGACACCATGGCTCGGATTTCCTCTTCTGTTGGCAGCCTGAAGTCGGGCTTCAGCACCCACCAGTTGGAGTCCATCCCTGCCATGAAAACCAGGCTCTTCTTAATGAAGTGCCGTTATTTGCTGTATTGGATGCAACTGTCTCCAAACACCCACCTGTACGTTTAAAGTCAGCACAGAGTTTGAGTCGCTTCCTGATGCTGCTCTCTGAGTGCGAGGGAAAAGCTTTCTTTATGTCCTCCATGCGGATTCTTCTGGGCCTATCTTTGCTCTTCCAGAACAGGCGYTAAATGAACACCTACAAGAGAACAGGCGTTGGCGGCTGAGCATTTGCAACGACGACAGGTGGATTATTTTGCAGGTGATCTGGTGGGAAATAAAAACCTGCAYGAAGTCTCTGATGTGAGTGTTGGCACGTTTGGAGTTTGGGCCTGGGACTTCGAACAAGGGACACTCCTGACCGACAACAAAAATGTCCACGAGCTCTCGAATGTAGTAGCCGTGTCGCGTTCGGATAACCAAGAAATCCGTTTCTGGCATCTTGTGCAGGTAGATTGGGGCACGGAAGAGGTTGTTTTCAAAAGCCTGTAGGAGAAAGACTCAATCTATAACACTATGATAAGAGACCCGAGGCACATTTTTATCTTTACAAATAATGGTTATTTATATAGCACCTTTCATAGATATAAAATAAGAATGTGCTTCACAATAAAAGCAATAACAATTAAAACTCTTAAACTACAACAGCCCATTTGTAAAAGAAAGTCTTCAGATGTTTTTTGAAAGCTTCCATAGAATCAAGTCCGAAATATAAGATAGAGCTTGTTCATTTAAAGCTCTAAAGCARGTCAAACTCAAGGCCCGCAGGCCAGATGTGGTCTGCAAGTGACTTCTGTCTGGCCCACCAAAGGCCAGCCTCTATATTTATTTATTTAATTTAATTTAATATGAAAATCATATCCATGTCAAACTTTAAATTTATGATTCAATGCAACAAAATAAAGTCATTTAAATAGTGAAATCTAATACTTGTCCAGCTCCTGAACTGTTGGCTTTCAGTAACTGTGGTCCRGAGCAATTTAGTAAAATAGTCCTGAATGTCTCACAATAAGCTGCTTTAAAGCCAGCATCGACCATAAACTACATCTCCCATAATGCATGTTGATTATGCATTCAGAATTAAAGACAGCAGCTACTCACCACAACTCAACAGTGAGTAAATCTCTTACTTTTAATAGTAATTCTGTTTTATTCATTTCACATTTAGTCAGTCGTGCTTTTCAGTGTTTATAAGAGGATGTGTTAAAACACTGTTTCTGTGCAGGAAATACCATGTAGAGCTCAGTTATTGTTTATTAGTGGTGATCAGCCATAGCAATAAGATGAAGAATGTGAGGTTTCGTGTTTAYTTAAAGTTCATTAAAACTGGCTCTTTGAAAGTCAGCTCACGTAGTCCTCTGTGGAAACGAGTTTGATTCCTCTTCTCTAAAAGTTAAAACTAGAATTATAMAATTAATTCTTAAATGAGCTGGGAGCCAGTGAAGAAAAGCTATAAGTGGTTTGATCTCCTGACTGTGGCGGTGCAGACCTGAAGCAGCTGTCCAGGGTGCAGAGAGCCCAGGAAAGGAGACGTGTGGCAGTAGACAGTCTCTCCATATTTACAGTCTGGTGCTCCGGGATCTTTTCCAGGTTTCTGAAGAACACAGTAACATGRCCAACACAAACAGGTAAGAACTTATTATSATCCCAACACTGCACTACAGTACARCATTTTTTAATATTATTTTAACACCAAAATAAAAGCAATATGAGCAAAGTCTAAAAATGGAAAGCAGATGGCTCACTTACCCTTTTGTAGTAGTTTTTGATCTTGGATGCCATGCCAACCTGCATGATGAGAGGAGGGTATTCCTCACTGTACTCTGCCAGGATCAGATCTCCATCTTTCCCTGTCAAGTCCTGCGGCGTTCTCATAAAGAACATGTCTCCACCTCCGGATGCCTGCCGCTCCAGTTCTCGCATCTGTTGACGAAAATCAAATTCAAACACACATTCGGCGCACCGTTAGAATTAAAAGCTCTAAACGTAACGTCTTTTGAACGTTCGCGGAGTCAAACAAAAAACACAATTTTTCTGGGCTCCACCTTGGCTTTCTTCTTTATGTGTTTGAGCAGCGGCTGAACGGCGTGAGGTCCCGGCTGAGACAAAGAGCCGAAGGAATATTTCTTCAGAGCGGAGCGGTGGAACTGRCGAAGCTTCATGGGTCCCATGTGAGTGGGGAAGAAGGGCTGCCGCAGCTCAAGGGCGGGAATGGAGTGCTGTCAAAGAAGAGGACATGTGTGTAACATGTCCTAAACGTGCTCATGTCTGTGTCTCTCATTGAATGGACAGTTTTCTGACGGCTCGGGCTCACCTGAATGATGTTACCACTGAAGGTTCCTCTCAGGCCCTGTTGTTTAGGATAGTAGAACTCATCATTGGACAGGTTCCAGGGATCTTTAACCTCAGGTTGGGACATGTTCTGTGTCGACAGAAATAAATACATTCAATTAAAACTTTTCCGGAGTTTCATTTTATTTTATCTGTTAATTATGTATTTTAGGGTACATGTTTTCATAATTAGGTTGTGCAACATTACAGCAATTTCAGATCAAAGTCTTGGTTTTGTTTAGTTAAAATAAAGACTGCCTTGAGGGACCAGACCTGCTGTGGCTCATCTTTTATCACCCCAGTCTTTCCAAGGAGAATACGACTCTTCTTAATTGCCGTTTCTTTTTTATTCTCTTTTGACGGAGAGTGGGAGGTCATCTCCTCCTTTTCATCAGGAATTTCTGGAAGACACCAGCATAGCATGTATCAAATTAAAGTTTATTATAGTAGTCCATGATTAAGAGCAGAAGTTTAAAAGAAGTTGAAAGTAAACCCAACTTGTTTTTATATACCTAGAATTATATTCTCATCATTCGGATCCAGGGTAAGAACAGGTGGCYTGAGCATGTGATCCATCTCCTGATCATCCCAGATGATGTTGTCTTCCCAGCGACCGTACACCAGCTCCTCGTTGTCGATGGGAAAAATGGAGAACCAGGAGCAGTCTTCCTCATGAGAGGCTGCGAAAAAAAATCAAGAGGTGAAGACGAGCGGGAAGACAAAGTGTACGCGAAAACAAAACAAACCTGTTACCCTGATTATCGTGGCTGCTTTTTTCCCTTTTGGAGCCAGAGATTGAAGACACTTTGGGAATGGGTGGAGGTGTTGGTGGCACCAGCTGGGAGTTACTTCTGGTCAGACCTGAAAGGTTAAACAAATGATTTATTTATTTTTCTTGCTTTAATGTAAATTTTGCWTGAAACAATCAGGCGGCTGTGTGTATTCTTACCCTGCTGTGCYTTATAAGCATTAGCGTTGCGGGTCATGCTGGAGGGGAGCCACCCTGCCAGGCTGGCTCTCTGAGTCTTGGTGCCTTTGTGTTTCACATCCTCTCCATTCCAAATAATATCATCCTCCCACTGCAGCTGAGTGACCATCAGGAACAGCTCGTTCTCAAGCGCCAATTTTGTTTCTTCGCCGTCAACGTTGTCACCATCAATTTCCATTTCTTCCTGCCTTTGTTCCTAAAACACATAACACACAAATATTTTTAAAAATCAACAAACATCTCACTCCTAAAAACACAATTATATGTATTCACACCTCCTGAATGGTTTCTGTCACTTCTTTAGGCACATCTTGCTTCTCGGTCTCATCTGACTCCTGTTCCTTCAGCTTGAAGCCATAGTTGAAGTTGCTTCCATCCTCAGAGACGCCCAGCATGTCGTACCAGAGCTGRGCCGGACCGTAGCGCCACTCTGCTACTTTAGGTCGAGACTCCGCTTCCTTGTCGACGTCACCGCAGGTCTGCGAGAACTTTGATTCGACTGGAGCCATCATGGTTATCTGGACGGAAAGAGGAGTGCGTGTGAAGTGACGGAGAGAGCGCCGGGTTTCTGTGTGGTGACATCACGAGGCTTTACCTCATCGTCAGACAGACACTGCTCTGGAGGCGGAGGGGGCGCGTACTCYTAAATCCACCCYGACTTTTTCTCCTGGTTTGGCTCCACGACCTCTCCCTCAGGAGGAGGGGTCCCAGGGTGAGGCTCCCTGTGCTTCCGCTTCTTTTTCCTGCGGGCGCTCCTCCAAACGGACGGCATGTTCTTTCCRGGACCGAACAGCCGCAGGAACCGAAGTACCTTTTCATAAACGTAAGAAAATGGCTGTAAGTGCACATATAAAATACAAAACACAGGTTTAAAAAGTAATTTGTGTAATTAAACGACTTATATGCTCCTAGAGAKGCTTTTACCTTGCCTGGCCTAAATTCTGGAAAGAGCTCCGTGACGCTGGGCAAGGCTTTGGCAGCATCTTTCTGCATGATGCCAGCTAGAGGGAGGGTGAGCCTGTCGGGGGGGCCTCCAGCCCCCGAGCCCTGGCAGGGACGGTCCGTTTCTGACTCAGAGTCCGAGGAGCTGCTGAAGTCCACCTTATCACCAATAGAGGATGGTGCAATAATGGAGGGCAGGATGATACCATCGCCATCTTCTGCAGTTGCTGGAAGAGACCGTGTCAGATTACAGAAGCAGGTAATTGAAATGATTCAACCTTGCCTTGTTTCATGCACAACTAGAAAATACYTCATTCTGTTTAAAACAAACCGTTTTCTTTATAGAGAATGCTTCAGGTGTATGTGTGCTCACCATTTGTGCTCTGAGAGGAGGATTCCTCCTTCTTGATTGGCGTGGGAAGAGTTGGCGGTGGTGGTGGAGGCATTAGCTTCGAGTCAATATCCTCACAGTCAGCATCATAGTCGTCCTCGTCATCTAGGATTAAGGAGTTCGAAAACATGTTAACATAAACGCAAACAGACGAGTGAATGAAAAGTCCAAACTATTTCATAGCATTTCAAAATATGGTGAGTAACAAAATAAAAGGTGGGGGAAAAACAGCTTGTATAGTGATGAATGGATGAAAAAGTTGTGTTATTCTTTTAAGTTTTTATAATAAAAAATATATTTCACAGCATTAATGGCAAATTCTAAAGTTACATACATTTTTTTTATTTATCATAACAATATTCAAACAACTAAGAGTTGAACGGACACTAGAGAGCTGAAAAATGATTACCTGTCTTTCTGCTGGGCTGCAAAGACCCCATCGCCTGACGGTACTTTTTTGTCTCATCCTCAGCAACCTCACTGATGTCAGAATAGTCGACAGCGTCATCCGTGCTTTTAACCCAACCTGCATGAGAAAATGTKACTAAAACATCATCCAATCATGGTCCTGCCTGGTCACATCAAGTTCCTTCATACATTTTCTCCTCACCCTCTGAATCCACATTTCCAGTGTCTCTGTTTTCCTCCTTGTTTTCATCCTCACTGGCAGTGATCTCTGTGATGAGAGAGCCCAGACCCAGAGAGCCCAAACCAGCTAGATGCTTCTTAGACTCCTGGTGACAGATCAGGCAGAGAAACAAAACAATCAAAAGCAGGTTAAATGAACACATACAGTCAACTTTAAACGATTACACAAATAACAGCACACTGTAGTAAAAAACAACAACATCTGAGTCACTCACATTGTCCAAAACACTGTCATCCTCCAGCTGTCCATCTTCATTGATATTTCCAAACAGGAACCCAGTGAGAGAAAAGGGGCGATCCTGATCCTCATCGCTGTCTGAATCCGACATCCTACATAAGAAAAAAACAAACAAACAAAAAACAATACAGGATATTTAATAATAATAAATCTAAGTTTGCTCACTTTATTCAACAAGACAACGTGATGACGGAAGTTGTGCCAAAAAAATGGAAGAATTTTAATTATGTTCACTAACCCAAAACGTATTAATATTTAAGCAACACTCACCTTTTCTGACCTCTCTTAAATATTCTTAAGCTTAGGTTTGAGCCAGTTTGATAGTAGCACTGAGTGCTAACCCAGGGAGCTAAAAGCTAAAAACGTTAGCAATACGCTAACTATTTCTAAGGTTGAATGCGCAACCTAAAATCTAGATTATTATGCATGTTTTAATTTGCAGCCAAGGTAAACTACGGATTCCAAATAAAAATGTTACCCTGCATTAACAAAAACCTGGCAATGTTAAATTTAGCACTAGGTTAAGTCTTTATTTGTGCTAACTCTGCTGCAGCAGCCTGCGACATTAGCGGAAGCTCTGACCCGGATGTGACGTGTGATGCGTTCAGTGGCTCGAAAAGTTGTCAACAACTGGATAGTGTAGCTCGGTGAATGTTATGGATTTTTTTTTTTTAAATATCCATTTAGACTTGCATGTCGCTGAACGTGTTATTGTATACACCAGTGCTTCTTACTTTGAAAATTATTTAAGTATTTTATGTTGCTTTGCAAATGTCAAAAACTATTATGGGCAAACGCTATTTGTTCCATTGACATCATAATAGAAAACGACTTATTAACAGGCTAAAAGAAAACTATCACAAAGTAAAACATAGTCAAAATTATATTAGTTTATGGTTACGTTTAACAATTTTTGTTGTTTACAATTTTCATTACATCTCAAATAAGATTTGTCAACACTAGTCTCATTTTCCTTGCTTTTCTTTTTGCAATAGTGTATATCATCTTTCATTTACCGCTATTTGGTTCAGTACAAATTATAGTAGCTCAAACCACATTCACAGATTGTTCCAGTTGCGCAATATTTCTGTTTTTAAAAACAGCCATTTTATTTTTGCCTTTCAGCTTGGCTTTGTTATTGAATTTTAAAAGACAGCTGCAGCCAGGAGGCTTCTAAATCTCTTGACATCACATGAAGGAATTTATCAATATTTGTAGATTTTCCTGTAGCTTCTTGAAGAGTGCTTTTGATAACCTTTTTTGTGACCTTGAAAAGCTTGCCCCGCTGTACTGTTGTGAAAAATAAACAGAACAATCTGTTTTATTAGTTAGTTCAAATAATATTTGACACAATTTCTGAAGAACTAATTTTCTCAAAAACTGCCAATATTCATGCTCTACGTTGAGTATTTTTGTTACACTGGAAAAAAAGTGGTTTTATTTTTCAACTTTTAAATATTTTTGACTATTTGGATTGTATTTCTAAAGACTTTCAGCGAATCAGCTTATTGGTGGTTATTTGACTCTAAACTGGCATAAGTGTAAAGTGGCTACATTTTATTAGCTGTGTTATTATAAAACCTGACGTTTAATGGATAAAAAGTAAACAAAAGAAACATTCAATAACAGTTTAGTCAATTTTAATAGTTTTAAACATTTCAGATTGAAAAAAAGTACAAAAGTGATCCTGAACACCACAGTATGAAACCAGCCCAGTAATGTAAGGTGATAGGTGTGTTCCTTTAAAAAGCATCTTCTACAGACATGTTAATGTCAACTGGCCATACCATACACATACTGTACTCACTAAAACTGACAGAAGCAATGGTTGAAATACAATGGCTGACCCCAGTAAATACATTTACAGGTGATTCTTAAAAAACTAAGTAAAAGGGAGGGTAAAGAAGTCCGACCACAACGCCCTTCTGGTATCTGGCAGTAAAATCATGCAGTATTACAATCGTTCCAGTAGAGAGAAACAGCAAAGCTGTCACACAGTGAGGAAGTGGGCAGCAAAGAGGCATTTAGCCGTTTCAGAGTGCTCATTGGTTGTCTGAATTCTGAGTTTTCTGAGCAGCGGCCCAGCAGTAACCCACCCGGCGTTTTGCATACATGATAAAGTTGCACGTAGGTCTCTGTTGAGGAGAGAGTGTCTTCCACAATCGCATCTGTTTACAAAAATAGAACTAATTGCTATCGAAAACCCCAAAACGTGGGATATTTTCGCAGTATGTCTTGAGGAATAAAAACAAAGCTAAGAAATACAGTTGAATAAATAATTGCATGACATCCATAAAAACCAAGTGGATACAGAGTCACCACAACGTGCTCAACAAAAGCACGCAACATGCTTTTTGTTTTGGCCCGGCAGTGTAGAAACGAGGGCTTCGACCTCCACATCATCTAAAAGTCGCATCCAAAGGAAACGCGACATAAAATATCTAAAAAAAAGTGTATATATTAAGAGAGAGGTTTCTTTTAATGTAACAGCTGGTTTCCTTGTACGACATGCCCTCTGGCTTCAGTAATTCAAGAAGCGAAGGACGTAGATGACAAAGAGGAAACAGAGGAAGGAGACGCTCACAGTGTTACAGAAAATGAAGCCACTCTGTTGTCGTTACCCGATGGCCGGCCTATTGTTAGGGCAACAGCAGCAAACTTCCTGTCCGGTCAAACTTTTTCCCCTTGGAAAGGGCAGCCACTTGTTTCATCAGCTCCCTGTTCTTAGTCTGCGGAAACACATGAAACACAGAGGAAGTGATCATTTAAAGAAAACACCTTTTAATGAATGCACTTCCCTAAATCCTGATTCTGATTTGAGGAGAAAATACAAAAGTCTGAACACTAAGCTAACTTAGTTGTTATCAAAACAAAAATGTTGTGCAACTAATTATTTTTACAACATGTTGATTCACTTAATTAACAAATAATAACTTCTGACATGTGACAATAATCATAAATGAAAAAAATAGAGCAACATTTCTATTAAAATACAAAAGGGTTAGCTGTTTATTAGCAGGTAAATATGACGTGACAGAAACCAACAGTGATTGTAATCCCACCTGCTGCTGCTCCATGGACTCTTTGTGTGCTTTCTCCATCTGGTTCATCTTCACTCTCATATTGGACTCCTGGTACTGAAAGTCTGCTTTGAGTTCTGTAAGCTGGTGGGAGAAAATTCCTCATCAAAACAACACGTGAAGCAAAGTAACGCACATTTGTGCAGGTTTGAGTAATCACAGCTGGGGGCTCGGCCCAGGCTGGCAGCCCACCTTTCTGTCCTTCTCCAGAATAGTCTGATCCCTCTGCTGCAGAAGTCTCTTCAGTGACATCACTTCCTCTTTCAGCTGGCTGATGAGGATGAAGTTGTCTGTTCCGCCTGAATCCATGGACTGAGTGATGGAACTACTGATGAGGTAAAAGAGGAAACAAATAAGAAAAGAGCATGAAGTCTGATGTATTCTCCAACCATCTTGTTAGATTAGATCAGCTGTACGCCCTGCCACACATACCTGTCCCCGTTAGATGGCTTCATCTCCAGTTTTGGTTTCTTCTTTGGAGTCTCCTTTTGGATTGAAGACGATTTATGGCTGCAAAGCAAATCCAGACAGTAATAAAGAAAAACAATAATACATTGTTCAAAAAAATACATTTTCAAGTTAAAAATAATAGTTGTACCTCTGCTTCCAAAGTCCTGGCTCCTGCTCGGGACTCAAGCTCCCACTCAGTCTGCGAAAGATAGAAGGAAATCAGTAAAAAGAGCAACTTTTAAAAGTATTACTTTATGAGCTTTAAGGAGGTCTAGTGAATGTGGGAGTCTCCAGAATATCTGCGACTTTCTCAGGGTTCTGGATTGAAATCAGAATCACAGTCCTGTCGCTTGAGTTTTTGAACATGTTCAAACAATTTGTGCCGCAAGTTTTCGATTGAAATAGTCACAGAGATGTCGCAGGCATCTCCAACCTATCTCAAGCTGTATTTTGACACCTGCACCAGAGCTCTTCTCTCTGACACCTGGTTCTAAAAATCATACAGATGATAAATAATATTTATAATTTTTAAAATTATCCAAATTTTCCCATGTTTTCAAAGCGTGCTCAAGCAGACTAAATCTTAAATGTGTGGGCAGCTGCCAAAGTGGGTACAAAGCAATTTGTGGGGATGGAACAAACAAAAAGTGATACAACAGAGGACGTACTTGTGGTGAGAAGTGCTGTGTCTGTGTTGGTGGTGGTGGTGATGGTGGTGATGATGGTGCGATCTGGAGTGGTGGTCCTTCTCGTTTAATGACGAGGAGTTGGAGGACCCGAAGCCCTTCCTCTGCTCCTTCGTCTTCTGCAGGACGCGGCGGTACGACAGCGTGCAGAGCCAGCAGAGAAGCTTTCCATCCACCTGCAGCAAAACGCAGCGGCTCGTAAACCTCAACGAAACACATTTATTGTGACTTCAAGACTGCATGTGCGTGAGGTTTGCACCTTTCTTCTGCCTTCCTCCTTGCGGTCAAAGGCGCACTGCTGTTTGCACTGTTCACAGGTCTGTGGAGGTCCATATTTCTTCTCCGAGTTGGTACAGCGTTGGCACTTTGTCCCGATAAAAGCCGCAATGATGTTACAGTACTGGCAGGGTTTGGGCTACAAAAACAAAACACACTGAATAAATCATTCAGTTCCAAAATACAACAGATGAACACCAAATGAATAATCTGACGATCAGTTTAATCTGTGCTGAGAATAAAGCAGTGCTACATGGAAAACAAACAAACAAAAAACTACTTACTGTTCCAAACTGTTTGACGTTCTGGGCGCATTTCTTACAGATTGTGTTTGTTTTACTGCAGGAAAACAAACAAAAGATTTAAGTTATATTAAATTTACCAAAAAGCAAATAAACTTCCTGTGTTTGCATTAGTAAAAAAAATGAATCAAAATTACTGGCACACAATCTCACCTCTCCTGCTGAAACTCAGATCTGCAGTACGTACACTTCACTATTGGATGTGCAATGCGACATTCCTGTAGGACCAAAATCAAAGAAATGCCTTTTTTTTGGTTTTGTTTTATTCCCCCACCCTCCACATCCTCCTTTGCATAGCATGACTAAAAAACTGTCATGATGGACATGGAAAAGAAAGACTTTTAAGTGAGTGTGTGTCAGTGTGTGGTGCAATACCTCTTGGTTACAACATCAGTGAAAATACCAACGTCTGACTTTTGATGAACTAAAAAAAGTTTCATCATACACATTTTCCTACATATTGTGGAAGAAAAGCATGCTTTAAAAAGGATTTCATCTGGTATTTGTTTTCTTTTTTAAATGCATTAGCAAAGAAAATAGTTTACCACATAACAGAGTGAGTGATTCAGACTGACGTGGGTGGAAAAGAAGTAAAAACCTCTGGTTTGTTTTATTTAAAACACCTTTTTTATGACAGAAAAGACTGCAAGAGCAACACATTATCAAACACTCCCAGTATAATTACTCTAAAGCAAGTTAGCAAGTATTCAGAAGGTGGGGTGAGAATATTTCAATTTAATAGGAAGGAATGGTCTTACTTGTGGCGTCCCTCAAGGTTTAGTTTTTGCCATTCATTTTGTACGTTACCCATCGCTAAGATTAATGTTTAAGTGAAGCTGTATAACGTGATCAAAGACCTGTAAAACGTTATTCATGTTTTCATCGTGTCTATTAAATTAACGCTGGTTCCCAAAACTTTTAATGTTCAACCCACAAAATAATGGTAGAGACTAGTGACCCAAGACCTGCCAATTTAGGTGCACAAACGTTGCTGCTAATAACTTTTTAAAAGACGAAAATAGTGACAACACATACAACATAAACATCTGTTTATATTCATTAGGCATACMGGTTTTATTCACTGTGATTAAATCATTAGGAACCATTTTAAAATTTTATTTTATTACTGGAGATCACAAAAGGACCATAACTTAGAGTTTCAAGAGCCACACTGTGGTCACCAACTTCAGCTATGAGAATCAGAAAATCTATTCTGGATTATTTACAAAATGTCCAAAACACAGCTGTTTTGGGTTGATTTTTTAAAAAGTTGTTAATAGTTTGGTCCCGTCTCAMTCATGCATTTGGTTTCTCTGAGATGTTTACGGATTTGAGCTTATGAGGACATTTAAATCTCTGCTCTACTCTGTTTTTATTTAGATGAAACATTAATTTTTATTGGTCTTTTTCCGTATTGCATTATCTCATATATTACATCTTGTTGTTTGACTTCACTGTGAAGCTCTATAGTTTATACATGAATAAAATGTACACTAAGAGCTGACAAACGCATTCATGGAGGTTTTCCAACTTGTTACATAATCTTAGCTTTGCTAAATCTGCCCATGGTGGCAACACCACACGCGCGTGCACACACGCGCGCGCACACACATCAGGCTTGTTGTTGTTTATGTCTCGTTCACACAGTGACCCCTCGGTCTCACACACACGGTCCAACCTTGCACAGTTGCTGGCCTTGCGACAGCTCCTCGAAGGGGTACCGCTGGTTACACTTCGTGCAGGCGTACAGAGCCGACGTTGCCATTTCCCTCGACCGAACTGGTACCGGAGCCGCCGAGCTAACAGAGGAAAGCCGAGTCCAGCTGCAAACRGAACGGATTAACCAGTGCTGTTTTCTATTCAAGCTGCTCGCTAAACTGAGAGCTAAGAGCGCACACAAACAACAGTGTTGGCATCCAGCGTTGGCTAACGTCAGCTAGCTTGTAGCGCAGGGGGCTAAGCAGAAATAGCTCAGATGGAGGGAGCAGGCGAAGAAGAACAATAAACTCCAGATACTCCGGGGTCGCTGCGTTATACAACCTTCCTGACCTAACATCGGTTTTCGATTAAGTCGCCACCGCTCAATTCTTTCACCACGACCAACTCCGTAAGGTGAAGTTTCCGCCGTTCTCGCCAAGAAATTAATTTTCCTTGTGTTTTCCGTCTTTTTTTTTTTTTGTGTCAACGCTGTAAGTCGTCATGTAACCGGAAGTGGCCGACAGCTCCCGAAGAAGAAGGAAGGAAGCCTATTGCAACACAACATCCATCCGCGGGARTCACATTTTGAAATGAGCACAGCCAATCACAGCTCTGGATTAAGGCAACGCGTTTCCACATCACATAAAGTAGTCCCACCAATATGTAATAACTACAGGTGAAAAAACACATTTTCTTGTTTATAATTTATTCTGTACGTTTTCTTTTCTTTTCTTTTTTCTTTTTAAAGCAATTATATATAAAAATGTTCAGCTTGGTCGTGCTGTAATTTTATTACACTTTTTGGGATTCATTGAAAGGAATAGGGATTTTAAGATTTTGTTTTCCTAATTTTAATTAAAAGCAGTAGTTAATTAAAATTAGGAATAGGGATTTTAAGGTTTTTTTTCTTTTTGAGAAGGACCTGTATATCAAAAATAAATTTGACTTTGCATCACAGTCTAAACCAGTGTTTCCCAAAGTTGGGGTCGGGGACCAAAATGGGGTCCTGAAACATCAAGGTGGGGTCCTGAAAAGATTTTCTGAATTAATTACATTTTTGCCTTAGTTGTTACAAAGGAGAGAGGTTAGTATATTTAAAATGGATAACTGTAGTATAAAAATATTGTTACTATGCCCATGTTTAGTTGACCTGATACAAATGTTTATCATCCAAAAATAACTGGTGGCACAGGCTAGTGTTATTTTGTGGGTCAAAAGCTGAAAAGTTTGGGAACCACTGCACTTTGGTTCCCAAAGTTGGGTTTGGGACCCAATTATGGGTCATGAAGCACCTTGGATAATCTCCAGAAATCAATTTAAAGGGTAATAAAATAATTGCTGATATAGTAGTTTACCTATAATTATTACAAAAACACAAAATAAGTAAAAATAAGTATTTATATTTGTGTACAAGCTGTTTAGATTGTCAAAAAGCCTGTGTTTTTAGGGTTATTAATGAAGTTTGTGTACTCAGACCAGTAATATTTGGGGTCACAAGTTTTTGCCATGGATATTTTGTGGGTCAGAAGACAAAAAGTTTGGGAACCACTGGTCTAAACACCTTGAAATTGGTATGTCTCTTTAAAAACCTCCTACCGTTTCTGACACTCCCATGTCAGCATGTTTTCAAACAATACTCTGTGGGGCGGGAGCTTGGCTTCAGACTGAGCTCAAGGGAGGAGCTTTGTGTAAATAGACGGAGCTTTGTACCAGCAAGTGTTTAGGCAGCTCCACTTGGCTACATGAGATTCAAGGATTTCTCAAACACGCATGAATGAGTCAAAGCAACACTCTGGGGATATTATACATGTTGATTTTGAATGATCTACCCATGTTTTGGTTGTCCTAATTTTAGTTTTTTAACAATTCTTGTTCATATCAGCAAAGTCATTGTTCTTTTCTTTTCATACATTATTTTAAAATGACAAAACAATACCAAACCAATTTAGTAAAAAATGGCAAGTTTTTTGGACCTATTTGCATCGGTCTGAAACTAATCAGGCACCATCCCCTGCTTCTGTACCAAACTCTCCTACCCTTGTATTTTTGTTTTATTCTGTTAACTTCATTTGCTTTATATAAATTGCACCACCAAAATTTGAGTGCTGATTTATTTTCTTAGTTTACCTTTTAATGGATATCATCTTGGCTGTGAAAAAAGTTTCAATATACAGTAGTTGATTTAGTTTTGTTTCACATATTACCCTTTTGTTTGTGTTCTCTTTTTTAATTTCGTTTTCCACTTATTTGTGTGTGTGTGTGTGAGGGTGTTTGTTTAAAAAAAATAAAGAGGAAAATGCAAAACTGTTGAAGCATGTCCAGAACTTGTACCATGTATTTCCATGTCTTCACTTTTTCCCCCTAATAAAAATATTAAACACAAAATGACAAAACATTAGACTATGTTGTCTTTTCACTTTTATTAGTTTAATGTAGTTTGACAGACAATACTGTTTGACAATGCAGTAGAATGATTTAACCCAAACCTTAAAGTAAGGTGCTTATAACCTCACTTGTGTGGAAGTTGATGGTTTTAATAGTTGTACATAAATGTACACTTAAGAGAAACCAAAGTGATGTTAGTGGCAATGCAAATAATATAGAAGCAGAAGATGACATATAGAAAGTACAAAATGCAGGAACATTTAGTTTGTTACAGGGTTTAGGAAGTCTGAAAAGCTACACTAAAAATTAAACATTTTTTGAGTTACAGTAGTTCAGAATAAAACGAAGCATTTAACCAACATTTTTAAATGTGAGGTGCATTTACACTCATGTAACAAACCAAACAGAGGCTTAGTTGCATGTGTCATACAAGAGGTCGCACATTAAGTAAAACACACCAACAGTATTTTTATCATTAACATACAAACTGTGCACACTACTAGTGTTAGATTCCCAATCAACCAGAAAAGGCACAGATGCTAATTTTAACTGTAGATGTATTAAACCAAAAKACCTATAAAATAAAACTAAGCTTTCAAAAGTAACAAAAGCATGAACAGAAATAAACTCAGTAAATTACTACTGGTAGAGAGATRKATTATTGCATTTCTTTGCAGTTTATTACATTTAACCCGGAATTGTGTGTAATTTATTTATGACACCAGAAAGAGAAAGATAAATACAAGACTGGACTATAAGATAATAAATAACATTAGCTTCTAAGAAAAAAGTAAACCTACAAAACCTACATCACTCAGTTAAAGGAATGTTAAATACATCYTGTGTTCATGAAATAAAACACATATTTGGTCACAACAGTCTAAATATTTGGATTAGTAAACTTTTGTTAATACACCCCATGTGTTTTTACGTGTCGACTACTTTTGGCTACAGATCAAAGTATTTAATAACTCCTGAACAGAAAATTTGGTTTAGGCCCTGTCCACACAGAAACGCAGTTTTTCCAAAACAATTGTTTTTTAAAATGTCTTTGTAAACAACACAGTTTCAACAAATGTCTTCATCCACACAAAAACAACCCAAAATGCTGTAGCAACTATAACAGGCCTGTAACGCAACCATGAATATTCACCAAAAACAGTAAACAAGGTGTGGCATATCCATATGAAGAGGAACATTTGGTGTAAAATGTAAACAAAACAAAAAAAAATGCTTCCAGGTTATAAGTTAGATTAGACGTGGGCCACTGACATCGTTTTCAAAAGATTGCATTTTGTCCATCTATAAAAAAAAAAAAATGCAAGGGTGATGTTTCACTCAGGAAACCGTATAAAAATACTACTTTAGGGCTCATAAAATGCTTTTTCTGTGTGGACACAAGACTAAAACAATATATATTTAAAACAATCTTTTGCATACTCTCAAAGAAAACGTTCCGGTGCGGACAACCCCTCAGTTTGCTTTGGCTGCACATTTCATGTTAATTTAACAGCTGTAGTGCTTTCACATGAATAAAGTGAGTCTTCCTATGAAGCATACAGGACTTAAACATTTAACCCGAGTCTTATTTCCTGTACTATAAAGAAAACACTGATTGTTGGTACATTGATAAACTACACACTCCTCATTTATTTTGTCCTTTCTATATGATTTAGGAGAAAAGCAAACACAATACTTTGCTCTTTTATTGGTAGTGTGTAAACTAAAAAGGCAGCATGTCTCAGATCCTCCGTGGTTTCAGGTGTGACCTCTTTTGTTTTTCTTACTGTTGCATGGCACCCTCTCACAGGCAGGAAGGCAGGACTGAGCTTCTGAGACAGAGTCACAAACGTTAAGAGGTGTCAAACAAAGGTCTGCACCGGAGTGATGGAGCGCGTGGGCGAGCCCGCCCTCTCGGAGGAAGAGGAAACCGAGCGGTTAGTCACCTCCCGCTGTAACTCYTCGACCCTTTTCTGAAGCTCGGCGCGCTTCGCTAGCAGTTCCTTATGACGCTGGTGAATAGGTTCCTTACAGAAAACAGCAACTTGTTAAGCTCGGAGCTCATGGTGGAAGGCAATCAACGAAAAAGCAGGTTTCGGGACATACCTGAGGTTTCATGCGAGGGTTCCAACGAATGTAGTAGCCGACCCAAAGCTCCAGGTGGCGCAAGCTGACGACGGGGAACAGTACGTGGTTGGAGTAGTTCACATACAAAGGATTGGTAAAGTCCTCCAGCTGGCTGTTGATGAAGGACCACAGTGACACCGTTCTCTTGGGGATCTCCTTTAGAATATAAAAGTTTATACATCTTGTATTAAAGTCGCAATAAAGTTCATGATTTGTTGCTTGCATTTCYTTTTATTTACTGTATGACTTAAGCTAGATTTAATAATCAAAAATAAGCATTATACAAAAAAATCCAACAATTATTAAAACTAAATGAAACTAATGAACCCTACTTCCTTCAGTCTTTGCTGTTCACTGTTGCACAGGAACGTCCCAAACAGGCAGCTGTACAGGTGGTCCAGGATGGTAACCAGGAAGTATTCATTAAACTCAAAAGCTGCAGGAAACTTAAGTAAAAACAATCCAATTATTATCCTTCAAAGATCTGTTTCTACATATATGTAACGTCCTCCAACACTTATTGCTTTACCTGGTGAGTCAACTGCCAAACACAGTCAATAAACTGAATAAAAACAGGTGAACGGTCTGCATCCGTGTGGTTTTTATCACCATGACCGATCCGCTGAAAAAAAAAAAAAAAGAGAAGAGGAAATCACGAGTTCAGCGATGCCGTTAGAAAGCAGAAGTGTGGCTGTGTGCAGGAATTGCCTCAAACAGGAAACTTATTGATTACCAGCTGGAAGCGATGACCAAAGCTTAGCCACTCTTTCTCGAGCAACACCTCAAAGCCACGAATGGTGCGGTAGTAGCCGTCCAGCATGAGCATGGACAAGGAGGTGAGCTGAGTCGTGCGGTCCCAGCCATCACTACAGTGCACCACCACGGACGTTTTCCCAGACTCCACTTTGTCTGCGATCCTCAGCGCTCCTGCCAGGATCAGCTGCAAAACAGACCGTCCGGAAATTAACACGGCACCATAAGAACCATCTTAAACACGGTATCGTACATACCTTGATGTGCTCAAGCCAGTGAGTGGACTCCAGGTTGGAAAACCAGTGCGAGTCCTCGATATTGGGGTAAACGATCTCCTTCAGCTTGCGGAGTGACTCTCTCATCACGTGGATATTGTGAATGTCTAAGAACACAAGCTCGGCGTTCTGATATGCATCCTCACTTTCATATCCACCGCCTTTCAGCTGTAGGAAGAAGTGAGTTTTCAGTTGTTAGCTGAGGTCTGTGTGCAGCCTGCTGAAGAAACCAACTAAAACAAATGCAGTTATTTAATAATTACAGTAAAAGGGAAAAGAAAGTCTATGCTTTCATGTATCCAGACATAATAAAAATGAGCTGGGTTTGTACGTGGTCTTAAAATATTAAAATCTAAGCACAAGTGTACAAAAACACACAACAAAGTCCATTATGTTGTTAAACAAAAACCAAAGCCAATTAGGAAATTTTGAGAAGTCTTTCATTGCTGATTTCACAGGATTAAAGTAAGCTACCCTGGAGATGTGTTAACAAATACAACAGTAAGGACTGTAAAGGATAGAGGTGCACTGAKTGCAGTTTTCTAGCCGATCACTGATCTTTAAAAAGTCTGACCTGCCAATTAAGATTTTGGCCGATACCAATGTTTTAAATAGCCGACACTGTCTGGTGTTGTAAGGTCACAATACACCTTCAACAATCCAATCTTTTTTTTATTGAAAAACAGTGAACAATACCCTTGTAATAATACAAACTTGTTTCAACTGGACATGGGGTGGTGTTTACAGCAGAGCAAAACGGGAGAGTGGCTGATTTTCAGACCTTTGTGGAGATGAGAAGCTGATCTTTTCCACTGATTTTATCCAAGTATCGGGTGATCGCCAAAAATTAAGGAAATCAGTGCTGATAAATCAGTGCACCCCTAATAGAGAAGCAGCTATTGTTGCTTTTCAATCTGGCAAAGATTAAAAGTAATTTCTAAACATTTTAAAACCCATCAGTCTACAGAGAGATCATTCACAAGTGGAAACCCAGCTGTCAATCATCACAGGAGTGAACGTCTCAGGAAACATACGTCAAGGTCAGACTGCGAGATGCTCAAAGAAACTGAAAAAACACTAAAAGCTTCATGGCAGTAGGACTTAGGTTCATGAAGTTGTATCAAAATGAAGCACAGGAGGGACAGAAAAAAGAATCAAAATGTTGCAGTGATCCAGTCAAAGTCCACCTCAACCTGACTGAAAGGCTGTGGTGGGATCGTTGTGCAGAAACAAARGTCTGCAAATCTCAATGAACTGAAACYTCGTACGAATAGGCCACAATACCCCTACAACAATCCCACAAACAGGGTTCCCTGCACTTCATGAAAACAAGCGTTTCTTTTCCCCATGACTGCATACATTATTTGAGAAGATTCAGAGTAACCGACCTTGTTGGCGGCAGCATTGACGCTGGGTCTAGCATCGAAAATGAAAAGTTTATGGGACTGAGCGTTAGCGTCCATGATGGCCTGGAGGCATTTCTCGTCCTCTTTGCTGCGCTTCCCGTTCACCCCAACCATCGGCTGACTGCAGCGCGTTATTGTCGCCTGACTTTCTGGATGAATCCAAGACAACACCTGAAAACAGAGTGCATGTACAGATGAGAACATCCTGCTGCTGCAGAGAGGACATTGATGCTGCAGAAACAAGTTACTTACAGGTATCCTGCCCTTTGCTCTAAAAGCTGCCACTCTCTTCAGCTCTTCGTCTGGTATGTTGACTGGTACAGCCAGAGTTGAAGGGTAGGTGTCACACAGCTCAAAGTGATCGTTCACCTTTGTTATCCTCCAGCTTTCATTGGGTATCCCCTTTACAAAAACCAGAGAAAATGCTGTTAAATGCTTCCTTTGACGCTTCTTAAGCATTCCTACTACTTTAACCTACCATTCTTTTATATTCAGAGACTGCATCATACACCTTCCAACCATTTTCAGGAAACACCTGCCCATATTCAAAGGCAAAGATTTGCTACGGAGAGAGGAGAAAACCAATCAGCTGAAAATCCGTGAAGGGCGACAGCAACAGAGCAGCTGAGAGTCACTCACCAGCCCGTTTGAAACAGGAAAAGCAAATTTCACCAGGACTTCAAAAATGCACTTCTTCAGCGTGTCGTCTATTTGTTTGTGAGCAAACCGTAGATTACGCATATCCTGCAGAAAGGCAGAGCGGCAGGTCACGGTCAAACTCGGAGGGTATCGTTTCACAGCAGTAAAATGTAACTGAGCTGTGAAATAGAGGTTTGTTCATTTCTATTCCCTTTTTTCTAACCTTGAAACGCCAAGCAGGGGCAAATATTTGAGCTCATTTCACCGACTCACTCACCCTGCAAACTAGTCCGTATGAAACGTCACCGCTTGAAGAATTTCCAATCTTTTCAACACGATTCAGTACTCCGAGAGGCAAATCCAGCAAAAACGCTGGCTCCTGAAAACAAACAACACATGAGCAAAAGTATTTAATGTGCCTTTTTCATTTCTATTTTTCCTCACATACCCTGTCCATGGATTTGAAGAAGAGCCTGTAGTTGGTCACCATCACCATTCCCCTCAGAGCTCCGGTGAAAGGACAGAAGTAGATGGTGTCTTGTGCTACAGAGACAGCATGAAAAAAAAATCAATAACATGTTATATATTATTCAAATAATAAGTGGCATTTAATGTATGAAAGATGTTCTGATTAGAGTTGAGTGCAGCAAAGAAACCAAAATAAAAATAAAAATTACCCATATCCTGCACAGTTTCATTTGGAAGTAACTGCAGTTCATCTTTGTCTGAATCTCTAAGCACCTTCTGCAAACATCAGAAATCATTTCTCACTTAATGCAAAGCAGTCATTTGATATCAAAAATAAATTTAGTCTTGAATCTGGCTCTTTAATCCTTTAAATTTACACAACTCTGAAGCAGGCATTAAAATGATTCCAGTGGCGTACCTTGGCAGTGGCTTTGGGCTTCACCTGAGGGATGTATAAATGAGGAGAGACTTGAGCGTCAGCTTTCAAAACTTATTTTAATGAAGATGCAGAATACTGATCATAGAGGCTACTAACCCTGAGCTCTGGAGAAAACTCTGCAGAGGTCGACACGGAGTCAGAGGATAAACCGGACGGTGGTTTGGCCTGAGCCGAGCGGTCCGAGCGAGATGTGGAATTGCTGTTGTCAGATAAAAAAATGATTTTCTCTCTGATTATGAGCAAACTATCAGTTTATTTATTATAACCAACAGCTGAGCTGTAAAACACACAAAAACATCTGATTTTAAATTTACAAACTAACCAACGAAACATCTCTCTGTATGGAACAAAATCAAACTGTTTCTCCTTTAGTTTTTTCTGCTGTCATTAGTGGTAGACAGTACTGGGAATTTTGGTATTGATCCGGTACCAAGTACATACAAGGCTAGTATCACAGATACTTTTATTTACTTGAAATGCCAAGTTCATTGAATAGTTTTGTGATTTTGCCTTTAGTTAATCGATTATGATAAAACACAGAACAAATAAAATAAATAAAAAGGCAAATAAAACTTTTTAAACTAACTACAACAATATAAAACAATAGTATTAAAGTAATAACATATTTATCCTATTACTACACACAAATAAAAAAATCAATGTAACAACAGCATGTCAACAACACAACAAAAATCAGCTTCCATTTCACACAGACGCAACAAAGTGTAAACAAAATTATCATAACGCTAGAGAGCATCCGATACAGAGTCTCACTTTATTGATACTATCTGTATTTTGATCAATACGCCCACTACTACCAATCATAGTGGTGCACTGAGGAGGCCAGCTAAGCAATTTATTTAGATTTTCCTGCAAATTTAGTTGCAAAAGTCACATTATTCACTGATCAAACCACCAGCCAGACGAGCAGCCGACTGTCTCGTGATGAAACATCATTTGGGTGTCTAAGACGGTTGCATAAGGGAAAACATAAAAAGGGCTGTGCTGAGATATATGACAGAAACCATTGTGTGAAGGAGATACACTGTAAAGCACTGTGCAGAACCAAAATAGGTTAACAAACAGGCTTTATTTTACTATTTTATGCATTCAGTTTGACACTTTCTTTCTTTAAAGGTTCGGTTCAACAAACAGGAAAGAGAGAAGTGAAGAAAAGGAAACAGGTGTGCATAAAATTAATACTTTTAATGCCAAATTTATACAGCTGGATTTCTGTAAATATGAGGAAGTGCTGGTTATAGTGATAACTCCAATATTAAGACTTGTATTTGCATTTTGTAATACTAGGAGTTAAATATGTTTCAGCTGCAAGATTTTATTTACAAGGCTCCATTGACCCCCTCCTTTGGAAAATATTTTATGTGACAAAAAATATTGTAAATTCTCATTATTCACAGGRCAATTAGATGTTTTATTTTATTAAATTTGTCACTTATGTCCACGAACATGTCATACAGTCCCCCTAAAACCACAGGAAAACCTGCATATTTACCCACTGATTTTATTACTTTATTTATTCTCTTCAAATCTTTCCACTTATTTGCAAGATTACTCTTGTTATAGCTCTTTCTATATTATATGTTATTCGGTTAATTTATGTAAAGTGACACAGAAAACAGTCTCAGTGAAGAGCTGTCAACATGCTGGTTTAATACTCACTTTTTAAAAGATTGCACACTTAAAAGGAGTCACTTTAAGCTATATAAACCCTAAATAATAAGCCATGCAGCGGTTTTTTAAAACTTTCAGCTATCTAAATAGCAAAGACAACTACCTGGACAATGAATCAACACTCGGCTGTCGGGAAGGCTTGTTCGAGCCCAAGCTGTCGACGCTCCCGCTTTTCTCCATCTTCTCCAGGTACGASAGAGTAAGAAAATAGTGGCGCGAACAAAGAGTTTGAGAAGGAAATCAGTTGTTTCCACAAGACACTGTCTTTACATTCCCTCTTCCAGCAAAGCGAAACACCACAAGCAAACGGAAGCTGCCATTTTTTACTCCCAGTCACACAGCTACCTCCCAATCTCCACCTCCTCCTGTCAAAAAGGGCYCCCCCTGCTGGCAGACTGCTTCTACTGCCCTCACGAAGTGGTCGCATGAGCCTTTTGAATGACGCGGCGCCCCCTGCTGGCAGAATGCTTCTACTGCAGCCCTTTTTATATATTTCGAAATGTTCATAGTGCATGTGTGGATTTTATGTATTTTTTTAAATTGTAATAATGCTCTGGTTGAAATGTACATTGGCTATGCAGAAAATAAGCCAAACAAGTTTGATGTGGTCATAATCATAGTCTTTAGTCAGATTTTCATTTATTCTTCTCAAGATTTTTGTTACATTCAACCAAATGAAAAACAATAATCACTCCTGAGGAAATACTCTGAATTCCTTCTGATAATGTTCTAAAGTTATTCAGTTTTTCAAATAATCACCTAATAATGGTAGTGATCATGGAAGATAATCTTACAATTAAGTGACAAATTGGTTTTATAATTTCTTTTACTGTGGTTAGTGGCCAAACAACACGTTTCTTCTCATACTCAGCAACAAACATTTCTCCACAACACATTTTTTTTCTTGCAGTGTTTAACAAAATTAAGAAGGTATGTTTTTTTACATTAGTCCTATAAAAGTGAACTTTTCTAGCCCACCACTAACAGCTGTATTTCTGTGCAACTAAAACAAACAAAAGAAAAGAAAACAAAAAATCTTGGGGAGCAAAGTCATCATTTATTTAAAAAAAAAAGGGAAGCAAAAACAAAACAGAAAAATAAAATACAGAATGTTCACATTTTACACTGCGGATGTAACTCACAAGCTCACTTATTTGTAGCGATTTACTTGCTGACTGTACAGCTTCTAATGAATCTAAGAGTATATAAATGACATCAAGCATTCAAAGGCTGAAAACAAAAAACATCTGCTCTTAAAAAAATAATCAGATAAGGTTAACACCATGTCCTTTATTTTACATATTTTTCCATAAATTTCTTATGGAACTCGGAGCGCAGCGTGTCGTTGACAAAACGCTTCTCTTTTCGAGCCTCGTCCACTCCTTTGGCGCAATTTTTGAACACGACGTCATCATCCCACCTGGAAGGACAGAGATTAAATTAAGGATGGTAACAATTGAAAGTTTTTTTTCTCATTTCAAACAATCATTCAGACAGAAAGTCTGTGTGTGTCTGAGGTACCTTCTCTTGACTCTGAATGTATTTGGAGTTGGGGTCTGTTGCTGCTGTCCTGCCAAATTAATCAGTGGGTTGCCGCTCAAGACATTTTGCACTCGAATCCTCTCCTCCTCTGCCTTTTGCTCTCGCTCCTTTAAAAAAACAACAGAGAAATCTTTCTCCTCTCTAAAACTATTTGTAATTTACTTGATTTTCAGCTGCATTGCAAACATATAAATGTGAACTATTTACTTTGCGTTCTTGCTCTTCAGCCCGCTCTTTCTTAATCTTTTCAAGTTCAGCCAGGAGAGCTGCAGTGTCGTCATCATCACTTTCTTCGTCAGAGTTCTCCTCCTCTTCATCCTATCAAAAAAAAAAAAAAGCTAAATCAGTAAAGGGACCTAATGGCAGCTCAATGTGAGTTTTAATGCAAGGTCTTACATCAGTGAGAGGATCATCTGCATCAAGGTTCGCAGCTGGGATCTGATCCAGCCTGGGCCTTTTTGAAGATGAAGATGATGATGATGTGGTGTGTTCTAAAGAAATAAAATCAAAACAAGTTAGGAGGATACACCCTGAGAGGCTCTGAAATATTTTAAACTGTAAGCTTATCATTAGAACATGAACCTCGTGGTCCCCTCTCTCTGGTCTTCTCACGTGCAGCTACACGCTCCCTCTCCTCCAGCTCCCTGCGAAAATCACGGGCACGCACCTCCTCAGGGGCATCCTGGGTGGGCTGCCTAGTTAAGGGGAAAATAAAAGGAATTATAACTTAAGTGTCAGGATTCCAGAGTAAATTCACTCACAAAATTAGACCACAAATGCCAACAGGGTGATGGGACTGTGCGGTGCTGATCAGTTCATGTTTGGTCTCCTGACCTGTATTTGATCTTGGTGTGACCAGGTAGATCTCGACTGGAATACTGCTTGGAGAGGGCACTCAGATCACCTTCTCCTTTCCCCCTCCCTCCTCTTGCCGGCTCAAATGTTGGCCTTGCAGCTGTAGTCATCTTTGATGGCTCTAAAACGTAACATATATACAACACTATATATCAATAAGATATAACAGTTTTATTAAGAAGTGACGTTCTTATAAGCATATAAATAACACAAAAGTTTGATTTTATGATGTCGTGGAGCTTAAATCGCATTTTACCAGGCATATGATATTTGTTTGCCAGAGTTGACAAGTTAGCTTGCTTAGCCACTAATGCTAACGACCTGCTAATACGCTAACAAGCTCGGTAGCAGCTAGAATTTAAGTATGTTACGGTGGAGATTTCCAAATGAGAACAATASTAAATTACAACTACGATAAAGTATCTGTATGTTTATATATAAATATCGCATTTTAAAGCCAAAACACTTACAAAGCTGCTACCACACGACAAAAGACATCCAATACACAATGTGGCGTCACTTCCGGGTCAAACCTCTGCAAAAGGAAAAGATGTGTTCAAAAACAGTGGGAAATTTGTGCACTTTAGACAGGAACTATAAAATACTATTTACCAAAGTAAAATAAAGCAATATATATCTATATACCTATATCAACCAAAATTTATACATTATGTGGAAACCCTTTTTTTTTGGCTGAAAGAATATTCCAATGATGAGAGGATAAATTAAAATTATTTGTCTTTGCTAGTTTAAATACTTGCAGTGCCGCAGTGGAGCCGATAGGGGGCAGATTTAAGATGAGTAAAAACCATGGAGGTATAAACTTCTGTTGAAGTATTACTTTTTAATATTTGCTTAAACTTTAAAAGAGTTATTGAACAATAAACTTTCCTACTGTGTACTTTGGATATGAACTGATATGTAGAGAAAAAAATAACTTTATAAACTAGACTGCAGGCATACTTGTTAAAAGAAGACAGCACACAAGTCAGATTTTAAAGGGGAAAAGATCACTTGAACTATCTGTAACTAATTTATATGTGTGTTTTTGACTAGAATAGTTTTAATGAGCTTAAAAATTTTCAACAAGTTTAAATATAACCAGAGATGCTCCTAAATTAGTCTTTTGGCTGGATCTTCACTTATTTAAGAAATAACTTTAATATATTTTGAGTCTGTGTCTAAATCTCTAACACAACAGAAAGCAAACTGGTTTTTATATGCTATGACAAATACATTTGTCTTTAATTTATAGTTACTCTGAGTTGTGCTCATTCATGCAGCAATTGTTAAGCTGCTCCGCTAGTTTTGTTGAACATACAGCACTAAAGTTATTTACCACACTAATGTGAGTTTTACAAGCTATATAAAAAAAAAATGAAAACCACGAACGATGTGCGTGATTCTATTCCACTTGTTAGATGTTTAAGAATGTAGTTTGGTCACATTTTTACAAAGTGCGCAAGTTGTAGGAAAAAAGCAAGTGAAAAGATAAAAACTCCACTGACTGATTCACATAATCTCAGTGTCTTAAAAGACAAAATCTGAGATCAGTACAGAAACAATATTTCTAGATTGATTCACATATTGCAAACAATTCAAGATCAATTATTATTTAGAATAAGATTTAAAAAAACAACACGATGATCACAAAATAAATTACCAGTTTTAAGTTTGTCCTATTTTTTTAAAGTCAAGTGAACAATCACAAATGCATAAATGCTATAAGAAACTCAATTTGTCATAAAAAATGCAGACTGTGTAGTATGATCTACATAAGTGAATACTCTCCCATATGACAACTAAAGCTACAGCTTATTTTTAAAATGAAGCAWGTTATGGATTGTTCTTTTTCTGACTTTTTCTAAAGCTTTACTGTTTAGTTATATAAAAAAGGTCCAACATTGATAGAGAAAAATAATGTCTTAGGAGTTATTTGTATTTTCAAAAACTGCTTAGCTATGGCAGGCTTTTTTAATTTGGTTAACTCTAAAAATCACTGTTGTGGATGTCTTATCTGATGATTACTTGCTGAGAAATTCTTCGAAATCCACTCACTTGTTTAGGAGACATTTTTATAGCAAACACATCATCACTCTTTTACCTTTGGGAGATAAGAGATAACAGAAAAGCTCAAAATAAACTCAGATGATTTTTAACTAAAGACAGATGTGAGAGTTTACTCAGTTTCGAGACTTTTCCTCCATCTGTAAATATTCCAGTTGATCAGGATGTTAAGTCATTAGGTCTGTGCCAGTTTCACTACAGACAGCCTGTCTGTTAAGATAAGGGTCTGATAAGGCAGCAGACTGAAGCTCTCTCAGATCAGGTTCTGCTTGATTCTTCACATCCTTTCTGACGGGACAGTGTGTTTTTCAAGAAATGTTTTTCTGTAAAATTAGAAGCGAAACAAAATGAAAAAGAAAAAGAAACAGCTTCCTTTTAGAGTGTTTTTACTCTGATGAGATGCGTCTGTAAAGTGTGTCCAAAATTAAAGTTTATTCTAATAAATCAATGAGTTTGATTAGTGGGCTTAATTTGAATGATGTTCTTTTTACAAAACAAGAGGAAGTTTAGATGAAAATTAGTTTTTATATTTGCTTCTAAGGGGAAAAAAGTTGCAATGAATAACATCTCTGGAATGTGACAGAGAAACAAGAAATACCCCCCCCCCCCCCCAACACACACACACACACTTCTGCCCTCTCATCCAGGTGCAGAACTTGTCACCAACAGGTGTAAAGTGGGTGGAAACTAAAGTTAAATATCACCACCTTCCTGCCTGATTCCCACACAGACAGAGGAGGCTCCACACACACACACACACACACACCATCTGCTGCAGACTCCAACAGGTGAGAACACATCATGACCCTCAGGACGGACCTCACTCCGGTTCTGATTACACGCTCGCTGACTTCGGGGCTCATTATAGTCTGGATGGACTTCATTTTTTATGCATAGCAAATTGCGACCCGGTTAATTGGCGTTGGCACGTCTTCAGATGAGATTCATTATGAGAGATTAAAAAKTAAGTGCGGGTCGAAAAAGGTCAACGGGACCCCAGGGAGATGCGGAYTGTGACTGGGTAAACAAAGCGAGGAGAGCGGGATGACATTAAAATGTGACGAGCACTCAGAAATGTAGACGATGGGTCAGACCTTTGCTTTGACAAAAAAAAGTGGTTTAGATGGAGAAAATAATTCTAAATTACTGCAGAAAAGTCACCTGGTTGATGCAGAATAAAGTTTTACAAGTTGTGGTGTTAACAGGTTTTGGTTCCACAAACTTCGAATGTGGAGAGTGATCTAAGACTCATCATCATCATCATCAACTCTTCAACCTGAGCATCAGAGGAAACATGTCCAAAGGTAGGTCCTGCTTTTAAAAAAAAGTTTAAAATCATTAATAGGAACAATAAAACAAACTTTTTCTCTGAAACTGCAGAGTGAACCCTGAGCTGACTCATTGCAATTAAAAAAACAGAACAGTAGCTAAAGTCAGGAGTAGTTAAACCCTAGGCAAKATCTAAAAAATGCACAACTAAGCCAACAGCAGTGAAATGCTAGTGAAAAGTAGCCAAATGCTAACTAAAAGCTGCAAATAGCAGAACGGCAGCTAAAAGTGGTATCAGAAAACTAAAATCGAGTTTGATAAAGCCCATTAAAATMAAAATAAATCAATGTTTTTAAYGGAATTTAGTAAGTCTCGTTGTGTTTCTAATAAGAAAATATTAATAAATATTTTAACGAGCATAAAAGTTCCAAAAATCAGCGTTCACATTTAAAAGTGAAGTTCTGTTTCAGAAGTCGACAGAACGCAGGTGTTACAGAACATCCGCGTGCGGACGTCGGTGAAGAATGACGGCAGCTGGATCAAACCCAAAGACAATCAGTTGAGTGTGTTTTGCTTTTTTTTTTACGAGCAGTTTCAGATTCCTGCATCTTAGTCTCAGTTTGTAGTTATTAGAGTAAACATCCAAGCTATGGGGACACTTTGTAAACACTTCCTCCTGTCTTCCAGAGCCAAAGGGAAAGGTAATCCTGCTMCAGAGAAAAAAGGTTCCTACGTCCTGTCGGCAACCAAGAAATTTGAGTGAGTGCTTCATTAAACACATCACATCCACCCCTCACACAGGTTCTTTAAATAGATTTACCTGTTTGACAACAAACGGTTTGATTTCAGACCACAAAGYAAACTAATTTAATCTAGTTGTGTTGGCTGCTCTTCACATCAGCCTGAGGTCATCCTTTAAGCGCTACATCTGTGAAAAGTAACTAAAAATATTCCCAGCTTCAGGGACAAATCACCATCTGTGATATTAACATACATAAACATTAACTTGGTCCTCGGCTGCTCCTRTGCATCCATTAGAGGCGACGGAGCAAAGCTGTCTGACCTGTAGCTCAACTTCTGAGCATTAAATCTGAATACTTATCGGAGTGTGTCCCCCTCAAGGAACACCTAATTATTTGCTCATTATTACAGCAGCAAAGGTTTATAATAAAAGTCAGTATGGGTTTTAACATGTTAAATTATATTATATTATTTTAACAGGTTCTAACAGTGCTTTAATACCTGTTTACAGTAATCAGCTTCTCAGGAGCAGCAATATATTCTGTTACACTCAGGGTTGTGTAACTATATCAGAGGTCTATAAAGTACTCGAGAAAAAAAAACTAAGTAAAAGTACCTTAACAGAAAAAGACTTTGGTAAAAATAAATGTCACTGATGAGAAAACTACTTAAGTAAAAGTCATAAAACTGTTTACAAAAACTGGGAAAGAAGAAGTAAAAGTACTTTTCCATGCTCTAACAAATAAACTGTTAAATTTACTGAACCAAACTGGCTCCACAAAACTAAGTCAGTTAAATTGGTCAATTTATTTCAAATAAAATATGTACATTGCCTAAAATTTACCCCACTGGCTTAGTGGACATAGTTATGATTTAGTTGAGAAAATTCAACACTTAATTTTTTAGAGCACATAACTCCTTTCATGATGAGTTCAGACTGATTTGCTTTGTAACAAGTAGGTGTTGAACTTTAAAGTACATAAGTAAAAGTATCATTTTTAGGTTTTAAAAGTAYCTAAGTAAAAGTCACGATTTTAAAACATACTTGGTAAAATTACAAATCCTCAAAAAATTACTTAAAGTTACTATAAACCTCTGAACTATTTGCAGCACAAAGGGCTGTTTATAAAGAACACATACAGAGGGTGCTGTATAATCATCATAAACCCTTTGTTATTAATGAATACATACAAAAACAAAGCAAAAAAATTAAAGTGGACATATCATGGTTTTAAATCCTTTTTTTCATGTTTAAATTATTCATTTCGGGTCTYTATAAAGTGGAACTGCAATGCTTTGGTTTGAATTCCTCCATATTGTAACTCCACAAGCCCCTCTTTCACCCCTTTTCTCAYGTGTGTCTCAGGTCAACTCCTTTTGAGGCTGTCTCTTTAAATCCAAAWGAGGCGCTTCAGACCCCGCCCCCTCCAGCTTCCAGAGCTGTCCATTCTAGTTTGATATAAGGGTTTATGACTATATAGCAGCGAAGAAATGTTTTATTGGKATGGTATGTCCCGTTTAAGTTAATAAACAAATTTTTGCTCCAAATAGATTTACAAATCTCCTTTATTTTGGATTCTGTCCCTGAGTTCATGTCCTGAAATCCGTTTTCCTAAAGCAAACAGAATATGCAGTTTTGTCTAAAATTCCTTCAGAATTAAATAATTGAGCTTAAACTTTCTGTAACAGTTGTGTCATACTTCAAACAGAAACCACAGGCATGTAAATAGTTTCTAAAACATATTTGAGGCATTACCTTTTAAACAAAAAATTGCACTTCCTTTAAACTGAGGGGAAAACTATCTTAGCTGTGTTCCAGTTGCAGCTTTACAGGTCTGCACTGCTGATTTTACAAAGAAAACCAAGAAGAGCAGGTTTTTCTGCTCGCTGACAGCTGAGGAGACTGTCTGCATCGGTAATTATGACTGCAGATGTGGGACGGCACGTCTGTCAGTCTGATTAAAGCCGTGGCTGAGCTGACGACACGGCCTGTGACACCCGGGGGTGGGGGCTTAAAACATTAAGCATGCAGAGGTTGTGTTTCTGCAGTGGTCACTGAACTGCTGCAGGGCGCCGCACGATTTGTTGAACACTAAATTGAAGGCGCTCCTTCGGTAATGCGCTCGGTAACGCATTACTCAAAGAAAGTTCGAGCGGAAAAGCTACACATATCAATGCAGGCTGCAACCGGCAAAAAAAAAGCTATCAGTGGTAGTGTGGTATCTGGGGAAATTACCTAGCTCTCCAGGTAATTGGCTTGTAATTTCTTTAAAGTGAAGCAATTTCTATCTGTGTGTTTTAGTTGTGGGATAGTTACATTTGAAAAACTTTTCCCTGGCTTAAAAACAATAAAAAAAAAGATCAAACTGAAATATTGCAATGAATACAAATACGTTTTAGATGTGTATTGTACTTGTTGGGAACTGTAACAGTAATTTGCATCAATGCAGCCCTTTCTTCCTGGACAGGAAGAGATAAACAGTGTGTGCTGGGAGGCTGGGGGAGGTGGTGCYTGACTCTCCTTCAGCAGTGTAAACCCATTCAGCATTTTAAATGGCGGCGCCAGTCCGAGTTGATTGGCTTTTCCTGAATTATGCAGCCGACAGCAGTTTCCTCAAAGGTACTGACCCTGCTCCCTTCGAAGGTGCTGACAGTTTGATAGATTAGCGATGAAGCTAGGAGGAAGGTCCGGCGGCTGCGAGCTCTGAGTGCATGTCCTGCGCCGAGACGGACAGCAAGGTTCCAGCCACGGGGCCGCCGCTGTGCGACGACGCGAAGTGGTCGTCACCGCCGGCGTAGTGGCTCAGAGGGTAGACACCGCACTGCCTGAAGCCTTCCGTCACAATCCGGACACCTTCCTCCTCTTTTGCGATCTGATAGGTTTCCCGAAAAACGCCCGAGAACTCCTTCTTGCTGAGCAGAAAGTGCGCATCGGTGGCGCAGCCGTCGCCCGCGAGGGCTGCGAAACGCTGCCGGAGAACCAGGAAGAGGCCGGCGTCCAGCGGCTGCAGGACGTGGGAGCAGTGAGGGGGAAGACAGAGGAGGACGACGTCCTCTCTGCGAGCGGATTCCACCACCTCCAGGTTCACGGGRGACCGGTGGCCGTCGAAGATCAGCAGCAGCGGGCGCTCCTTGGGCGCGTGGATAAGGAAGTGTTTGAGGAACCATTTCTTAAAGAGTTCTGAGTTGATACAACCTGAGTCGGACCACCCGTAGAGGGCGTTTAGCGGTCCCTGTGTCTTGTAACAAACCCCTCCAGGGTAGGCCTTTGAGTAGATAATAAATGGAGGAATGTCCCCCCCGGCTGCATTGAAGCAGGCCAGCACAGAGATATGTTCCCTCGAGTTTGGCGCTGGCTTGTAGCCCAAACTAGTAGATTTGGGAAGCATGGCCTTCTTCCTTCCCAGCTGGAAGCCCGTCTCACTGCAGCTGTAGATTTGGTGAGGCCTGTCTCTGAGCCTGTGTGTGTCTACGACTGTGTTCAAGAGGCAATAAAAATGATCCACCGCTTCCTTTCTCACACACGCTGTCCTCCCACGCACAARGCTGTCTGCCGGCTGAATAATAATGTTCTTTTCTTGCCGTCTTCTAAAATTGAGCCACCACGTCTGGCCCAGTTTGGAAACCGCCACCCTCCGGTGCTGCCGTTTATAGATGGACGASGCGAAAGACACAACCTGCTGCTTGGTGAGTGGGAATCCATGCTTGGACATATATAAGCAGAACTCCACCAGCAGCTGCTCATCGGCAGACGCGATAAGCTGAGCTGGGCCGCTGCGACTCCCCGGTGTCACTCGTCCACTTACTCGGTCCCCGAGTGAGGACTTGGGAACTCCGAACTCTTTGGCAGCCTGTCTCACTGTGCACCGTCCCGATTTCACCTCAATCAGGGCACGCTCCATGGCCTCTTCGGCCCATTTCTTCTTTTTCTTCCGTCCAACTTTGTCAAGATGGTTCCTTGACGGCATTTTTTTTCCTCCCCTAGGAAGACAGAAGAAATTCTGGCATAAATTAACAACAAAACATCAATGGATTATCATGAAAATTAACAAACAAAATGCTGGAGTTTTACAAAAACGATGTTCAGCCACAAAAATGAAATGCTTGATTATTGATCCTCATCACAGCACATATCAGACGGAGCATGAACACTGATTTTAATAACTTGCTTTTTACTTTAAAGGAAATTATTTTGGATACTAGGTAAATTATTTATTTAGAAAAAGTGTTTGACCAATAACCATTAAGCAATACTTTATTGTGTGACCCTTACAAAATACAAACAAAAAGAAATCTGATTTGTATCGAATTATATTGTTCAAATTTTCACAATGATGCAACTATATATATATATATATATATATAACAGGCCTAGTAAACTGAATGTAGTTGTTACACATATATTCAGAGAGGTTTATTCCACACAATTAAATCCTGAAAGATAGATTTTATTGATAATGAACAAAATAACCATATAAAATTAGAAAACTAAAAATATATTTAGCAAGTGAACATGATATATACAAAAAGACTATTACATTTTTAAACAAACTTCTTGTGCACTTCGAAAATAAAAAAAATAAAAAAACAATAATAATAGGCTTTAAAAGGGGGGGGGGGGTTGCACTTTAAAATTAACCTTAAGGAATATGAGACTTCTCTACATTTTTGTTTTAGTAATTGACATGCTGTAAAACAAATAATTAATTAATTAACATGGGAAATTAAGTAGTAAAAATGTTGTTTGAAGTCTTTAGAATCCAGGCAGTCCTTAAACGCACCACGAACAGATAGGTTTGTGAATACAAGGCTATGTTTGTATTTTTTTATTTTTTTGTCAAAGCTTTTCTTAAACATGCCATATCAGTGAGACTAACCTGGAACTTGAGGGTCAAGAAAGGTTGTATTTTTTTGTTGGAAGACGAATAGTCCCGTGGTTGCTCCGAAATGATGTACCGTAAACATTACTTTTGTAAAGTGCGGTATTAGAGACTGAACGCTTTGGGGATGGTGCTAAATATGTCGCAAACACCAAATGCCCTGCCTGTGTTTACTTTACAATGAACATTATTTGTCACTCAGCTTCATAAATATAAAAGTAAGAGGCAATAAATACACTTCTAAGGACCAAACACTTACCCACCTAGCATGAAGCTGCTACGGCTGAACACAACGAACAAACCGGAAATCCAGCAAGGATGTTTCAAAACAAAAGCATCACAGTGCTATCATTTTCAAAAATAAGAGTTTATGTTTATAATCTCAAACTACAGACAATAAAAATCTATTGCATTTTATCTTACTACTTCTAAGTTATTGATAATAAATATAACATTCTAAACAGAAAACAACACAACACATAATACATAATACAGAGTGTGTTCCAACTTCAGGGAGATCCCACTTCTGAGCCTCCCTGGTAAGGTCTGTTCAGGGGTCCTGGAGAGGAGGGTCCATCAGATAGTCAAATCACGGATTCAGGAAGAGCAGTGTGGTTTTCATCCTGGTCGTGGAACAGCGGACCAGATCTTCACCCTCAGCAGGGTCCTGGAGGGTGCATGGGAGTTCGCCCAACCTGTCTACATGTGTTTTGTGGACTTGGAGAAGACGTTTGACCGTGTCCCTCGGGGACTCCTGTGGGGGGTACTCCGGGAGTATGGGGTGCCAGGCCCATTGATACAGGCTGTTAGGTCCCTGTTTGACCAGTGCCAGAGTTTGGTCCGCATTGCCGGTAGTAAGTCGGACTCGTTTCCGGTGAGAGTTGGACTCCACCAAGGTTGCCCTTTGTCACAGATTCTGTTCATAACTTTTATGGACAGTATTTCGAGGCGCAGCCAAGGTGTTGAGGGGATCCTTTTTGGTGACCTTAGGATCACATCTCTGCTTTTTGCAGATGATGTGGTCCTATTGGCTTCATCAGATCGTGATCTCCAGCTCTCGCTGTCTGGGCTCTCCCTGTAGGGTGAGAAGCTCAGTCATCTGGGAGGGACTCAGAGTAGAGCCGCTGCTCCTCCARGTCAAGAGAAGCCAGTTGAGGTGGTTCGGGCATCTGGTTAGGAGGCCCAGAGGATGACCCAGGACACGCTGGAGGGACTATGTCTCTCGGCTGTCCTTGGAATCCCTTGGGATTTTCCTGGATGAGCTGGCCCAAGTGGCTGGGGAGAGGGAGGTCTGGGTCTCTCTGCTTAGGCTGCTGCCCCCGCAACCCGACCCCGGGTAAACGGCAGAAAACGGACAGACATAATACATAATACATAACGAAAATAGCATAATAGTTAACCTTTTACTTGTGGCAATGGATTAACTGACATCTATTGCARAATTGTTGACAAGTGGTCARTTATTTTTCTAGAACCAGTCCAAGTTATAGAGCCAGTGAATCGCTCAGTACAACAGTGTCCATATTTTCAACAGTTTATATCCTTTCACAACAACTATTCTTATCTCCTTTTCACAGTAATGGCTAAATATGGTAGTGGCAATAATTTAAAAGGTAATTTTAATTTATTTTTTCAAGAATTTCCACCTGATGTTTTAAAACCCAACTTTGGGAACCACTGACTTACAGTAATGACCACATACAGATTGATCACATGACAAAATTATTTATTTATATGCCATATAGTTACACTTCTGCATTATCATGGAAAACAAACACCTAAGACATTTTTGCACCCATTCTGCATTTGTCTCGACAACAAGTCAATCCTTCATCTCCAGATGTTTAAATATCGACTGTAAGTTTTATTTTCTTGAGTGAGGAACAGCTGGTTTATTGCATCACAATCATCATTGTTTGCCAGCTTCTACTCCCGTTACACATCATCGTGTCTGCTGATATTTATATTATTATTAATAAACACCATGTTGACATTTAAAGCTCAATTTATCAGCTTTGTTCTCAGTTACTCAGCTCATGTGTGAATGATGCTCATCKTTTAGTTCTCTTCACATTCCTGTGTGCATTATTTATCATCTCTGGGTAGATGGATAATTACATCTAGACATCAATGAAAATGTGCATTTGTTGATAACATACATAAAATAGATTGTAAGCATTTTTTTTTGGTTTAAAATATGTATTTTCCTCCAAATAAAATGAGCTGACATTGGATTTCACTTGGCAGTTATAGTATTATCTTTTATTTTAGAAATCTTCACTGATTTTAAAGTGAGATGTATAATATAAATTATAAAATTACAATGTTAAATGAAATTGTGAGACTAGAAGTTCTACTTTTCAAAAGAAGGCACTTATTCCAAACAAGTGTGGATGCTTTTGAATTTCAGTTTGATTTAAACTGTGCAAAATGTGCACCAATATTTGGTTTTCTCAGGCTATGACTCAAATGCTATTGTCACGCATGTTTTTGTAAAGTAGATATGTGTTTTGTTGTAGAGATCCCACCAAACAGGCAAATGATGAAGGTAACCCTGCACCAAAGAATGCACCAACCAAAGAAACAACAGTGGATATTGTGGCTGACACAAAGTTAGTACATAAAAACCTCTCTTTATTTGATGTTTGTAACTGTTTGGCAACATTTCTTTTTGAATAATTGGGAATAAACATTCCCTTTTTTACAGGCTCCAATCCCCCACAGAACAGCTGATTGAAAATGGTAAAACACAAGCAGACAAAGTGTTTAAAGAGAACAAGAAGGCAGAAGCCAGTGCACCAATAGACAAGCCTAATGTGGATAACAAGAAGAAAGCTGATGAGCTCTCTGCAGATAATAAAGAAGAAACCCAACCAGCTACTGCAGTAAAGCAGAATCTGGACGCAGCAGCTCCCGCAGAGCCAGCAGAGACAACACCTGCCAAGGAAACTCTTGCAGTTGCAGATGATAAGAAAGAACACGCTGCTGCTCCTCCCGACCCATCAAATATAGATAACAACGAGTTCAAGGCTCCATCTGATGCTAAAATGGAAAACTGGGTTCCAGAGGCCTTTGCTAGGGGGGCCACATCTGGTAGTTCAGGCGCTGCTAAAGTCCAACTGAAGCCTCCGGAGATCGTTGCAACCCAAACAGAGCCAGCAAGAGCTACCAATTTGGAAACTGAAAATCAAACAGTATCCATTCAAACTGTGAATGATGGTGAAAAGAAAAGTCTTCCGACGGAGACAAAGGACAACGCGGTGGTCCTGGCTGCGAAGATCATGGTGGAGTCTGTGCCTGAAACAGCCATCTACACTGGAGCAGATTCTGACCTGCAGGTTGAACCTTTGAGCGACTCTCCTGCTCAGCCTGCCGAGAAAACCCCCTCAGGAGACGAGGCCCCAGCATCTCAAGACGTGCAGCCAGTTTCTGACACTCTGTCTGAGTCGCCTCCTGCTGACGCTGTTGTCAAGTCCGCAGAGCGAGATTTAGACTCTGCAGGCCTTCCCCACGCCGAGCCAGTTTCAGAGACCAGGACTCAGGAGGTTAAATCTGCTCCAGAACAAAGTGTCAAACCAAAGCACCAAGTAGATGTGGCAGTGCTGCCTATCAAAGAGGTTGTCGTACCTGCGCTAGATGCTGAAGCTGTTCAGGATATTTCAGATTTTAGAGCCATCGATCTGACAGAGGCTTTAGATGTTGAACCTCAAAGCAACAAACCTGCTCCTAAACCTGAAGATTCACAGCAAACTGTCCCAGAAAAGCAAAAACAGCAGGATGACAATACCAAAATGTGAGTAAAAAAAATAGCAAGATTTGTTTTCTTTTATATGATCATCTTATTGTTTGTTTGTGTTGAAGTTCTGAAGCCAGGTTTCAGAAACCAGAAGAAAAGTTAATCTCTACACAGACTCAGAATCGTTCCAGGTAGGTTTATAATATGACGCATTTCTAAAATCCGATTACTTTGTCATATAAAACAAGGCTGTGAGAAGTAAGGGCGTGACAGTGGCTGCAGCACCCCTAACAGATGCCAGAGGTCATAGTCCAAATGAAGGCTTTAAGAATTAATGAACATTAAATAAAAACAGATTTTATCAGTATGGGAAGTGCTTAAACATCAAAGAAATATTTTAATGTATTGAGTTTCGTTTTTGATTATTTTTGTGTAAAATTTCACAACTGCTCTAAAACATTTCAAGTGTTCTCAATTTTATAGATTTTGTATTTCAAAAATGTACAAGGAAAGGCAAATGTCTCAGGACATTTATTTCTTTCAGGAACATAAAGGAAAATGAAACATCTGAATAGCCCAGCAATTAGTGGACAGGGGCATCTATCTTGCCGCCATCTTGTAAACTACKATATTGGATCAAAGTCAATTTCTTCCAACCAGAGGGCGGGTCATGTAGCATATTAAWAAAGACCAGAATTGTGTCATAAATTAATTGCCACAATCAGATTTGCAATATTTTTTGTGGTTTCAAAGTTTTCGACACAGAAAGTTGCAACAACAACAGATCTTTTATTCGATGTGTTCAATGTGCTGTCCGTGGTGCTGAACACACACTGTGACGATCATATCAAATAACAGTTCCCAGTTCTTGTTGAAACTTTTCGTGTTGATAACTTTTGAACCACAAGATTTATTACAAATCTAATTGTGGCAATTAATTTCTGATACAATTCTGGTCTTCTCTGATGTCTACAAGACCACCTTCCCATTGGAAAAAAAATGACTTTGATCCAATATGGCGGTTTCAACGATGGCGGCCATGTCATTAAAAGCTACTACTTTTAGTAGGTATTTAGGGGTATTTAGTTAGTTCATTTTCCCTTTTGTTTATGAAATAAAAGGGTGTCCTGGGACTTTTGTTGTGTTTGGCTTCTACAAATTCGCCCACACAACACAGTCAAAACACACCATGTGTAACAGCAGCACACTAGTACAAAATAGAAACAACTAAGCTGATCCAAATGTAATAATCTTTTCAAACTTTTACCTCYGTTATGGCAATTTGGGCTGCTCTTTCTGCAATCAAATCATTGATGGAGACATCAAGCTCATCCTGAACGAACCGCCTGTGACCCTACATCCAGAGTGCCTTCAGGTTTGACTTTCCTCCTCATTGCGAAACACATCTGATTTTTAAATATACAATTGAAGCTGGTAACTCCTGCCTTTGCCTAATGCTAATGTTGTGTATATTTTGCAGTGTGGCGTTTGCGCCAAGGCCCTTGGAGATTTGCTGACCCTCATATTCTTGCATGACAAAGTGATCCATTGTAACGACTGCTTCCAGAAAGCTGTTAATGTTTGAATACTACTGGGGACGAACGTGTCTCAAAGCTCACGGTGAATAATGTGCTGTCTGAGGATCTGCACTGCCCGTGCTCTGTATCCTGTGTGTGTATTTTCTTTTCTAACWATTTCTTTCTCTGGAAATGAGGACATACTGTATAATCTCATGTTTAAGAATTGTGTAATTAAAAACCTTGGCAGCAGTAATTACCCCTGTTGCCAAAATGAATCACTTCACAATCAGCAAGTACAACTTTTATTGCAACATGTATATGGTTAAAATAAAATTACAAGTAAATGCTTAAGATTCAAAAGGYTTTAATTAGCCTTAATTACAAATGAAAACACACAAGACTAGTCAACTACAGAGCAGTTACTGAAACTTCTTTAGGTAGGAGCTATGAACACCAGCCTGTGTGGTGACATTTAAGCAAAGCCAAAATGGATTGTGAGTGAATGAGCGGCAAATTCATTGTGAAGCCGAAAAGCTTAAAGGGGGAAACTCTGGTACATTTGGTTTCACTTACTCCAGCCTCGCGTTGTTGACATGCACAGTGGCGATAATGAGGCAGCAGCATGTGATCCTATTCAGCTCCAACATGTGCATCAGTAAACACTGAATAGTCTGCACACAGTTAGGAGTTGCAAAGCAAGCTGTCGTTTCTCTTAATTATTCACAGAAAACGTTATACATCACAGTCAGCACCAGTGAGGCTTCACAGGGAGAATTAAACTGAGAGGTTCACCCTGCAAAAAAACCAACAAAAACAAACAAACAAAAAAAGAAGACTAAAGAGAATTATCTTAGGAGGACTTGTGGAGCGGGTCGGTTTGTTGTTGGTGCATCACAGTGAAGAAGAGAAACATTTTCCTGTTATTTGTCAAGGGGGAAGGAAAAACAATGGTGCAGCAGATGATCCAGGATCAAAAGTAGCTGTTTGAAGAGGGAGATATGAAATCTAGAGTCGAATGTGCAGACGGATGTGTTGCACTTAGCGAATTCCCTTTCGTCCCAGGAATCGCAGGATGGCGTAGTTATAGGTGGTGGCTGCCAGGTACAGGAACTGCAGAGGTAGAGCAGAAACACGAGACAATATTAAAATTGCAGTTCTACGTATACACCAATGGTGTTTCAAACCGTTGGTATGCAAAAAATAGCATCTCACTGGGTTGATGGGGACTAGCTTTGTGAATAATTCAGAGTGAGACAATAATGAAGTGTGAAAGAGTGATTAAAAACTTAGAAAGTAATGAAGAGAGAAATAACAATGAACAGTGAGAATGTGAARAGAGTGATGAAGACTGAGACAGTGATAAGGATTTATATAGTGAAGAAGAATGAAATCAAGAGTGATACCTACAACAGTATGAGTAATGAGTAGTGAGACAGTGAGTTATATAGTGAAGAAGAGTGAAATAATGATAGAGAGATGGTGTGAATGGAGAGTAATGAAGAGTGAGACATCAAATGTTAATTTGGTGATAAATAATGGGACKGTGGTAACAAGTTATACAGTGAAGAAGAGTGAAAGAATAAAGAATGAGAGTGAGACAGTGATCTCTTTTGCCAGAGAGCTCTGGTCCTGAAGGCAACATGTTATATAGATAAAATGATATTTCTTTATAAGCTTTCCATAGAACAGTTTTCATTCATAAACCACACGTTGACATTTCTTTGGTCAAAAACAGCTTTAGTGAACACAGAGCTCAATGCTTTTTTTCTGCTTTTATTCAATTAATTCCCACCAGGAAGTTTAAAAGATAAGAAATCATGCAAAGTAATGAAGCAATTTCCTACCAGAGCCAAGAGAGTGACCCCAGCCCCAGCGAAGGCTGCTATGTACAGGTCGTAGGTGAGATGGAACTATGTGACACAATCAACACAGTTAGTTTGGTGTGTTTTCAAATACGTGACTCATCTCTTGTAGGACATCCAGGGATTTTATTATAATGTAAAGAAATCATCGTTTGATTTACTCACTTCGCTGGTTTTGCAAATAGCTGCCAAGGTCGTTCCACAGGACTTGCCCGGCATTGCATTCCAYGGAAGCAGCCCTGAAATGAAGACATGACGTAAGTAAGAGCTGCCCCAGCTGGTGCTGCATCATGACAAGCTATGACGCATGTGAAGCTCCCGTTTGCATGCGGCACACCAGCAGTGAGGGATTATCTGTATTGTTTCGGAGCTAATTTAAACATCCGTCTTGCCGCCGCTCCCCATTGATTAGTTGGTCTCCGTCAAGGACACATTAACATGCTCATCAGGGAGTCGCGCGGTCGACCGTTACGGGGAGGCAACCCACCGAACTGCCTGGCGTCCATGCAAATCCAGCTGTGCTGATTGATGCTGGGGGTGGTCTCAGCCAGGATATTGATGTCGTGACAGGTCTGCTCCATGTTGAAAAGGAAGAAGACGGGGATGGCGGTGAAGGCGAACACCCCGAGCCAGATGAAGGCCAGGATGTACGTCACTATGATGAACTGTTGAAACAAGAAGGTTATGGATCTGTTGCCCTGGCGTTCAGGTGTCACTGTGATGAATGTGGTGTTGTTAAATTAGCTATCAAGCATAATTCATGATTCTAGGGAGAAGAAATTAAACAACCAAAGAATGTTTCATCCGTCTAAGGAGCCAAACGTCTCGTCTTGTATTATCTCACCGTCAGGCTGACGCAGCGGCCACAATGGGTGCTCCTGAACTCGCCYAATGTCTGCTTGACGGCACTTGTGGTGTAGAAACCCTCCGCCAGCAGCAGGATACCATAGAGGAAGAAAAAGGAKGCCAGGCCGTAGATCACGTACTGGAAGTATTTGATACTGGGGAGAGGTACAGGAAGAGGTCAAGTCAGGGGTTAGCGCAATCAGGGTCAAACTGCGGCACTGACCGAGGCGTCACTTACAAAGAGGCCAAGACCACATAGTCCTGAGCGTTGCGGGCAAAGTAAGTCTCGACGAGGACTTCAGTCTGGGCCAGCGCTTCGTGCCCGCAGCCACAAAACAACGCCGTGCCGGCATAGCACAGCAAGGTGGCCACCAGGGAGGGGTAGGGCACTGCCCCAATGCACCGGATACAGCAATCATAACAACCTGAGGGYGCATAATATATCAGCACACAGGCGGCACACACCGCACATATAACCACACAACACATCAATGCCACGGTGGTCGTAAAAAGGGTGGGGTGGGGGGGGGGGGACTCCTTCACCCTGCTGGGGAGTGATGGAAAAGGCCTTGCTCTGCCTGCAAATCCATGAACACGTAAACCCACCACCACCAACAGGCAAGAAAGCAACAAAAAAAGAGAGCAAGAGAAGAATTAAAGCAGCAGTTGTGCCAAACAAGAGTTTAAGCAGCGTCCAACGTAAAGCAGCCACTTCACCCCAATCACTGACACGTCTTCCAGGTCAAGCAGCCGGGTAGAAGCGGGCAGCAGATCTCCCAGGTGTTAATAAATGCATTGCCAGAAATGGGAGGAYAAAAAAAAGGAAGCACCTAAGGCTTTGCAAAGCCAAGGCTGCCTGACCGGAAACATCTGCAGCCCCTGACGCTGTACTCCCCAACGAGAACGGTCCCCGTGATGTACGGRGGTTGTCTGCGAAAGCTGTTACAGTACAACACAGCTGCGCTCTCTGTGCTGATTTCATCTGTGCCAGCGAACCACAGCTCCGTCCTCGCTAAATCTGGCCCGGCCCCCTTCGTTCCGCGGGCGTCACCATGTCACCCAGGATATGGTGGAGAAACTCTGACCCCCCCCGGAGAAAGAACCTCTCTGTGAGCCCAGGATACAATATCCATTGTGTCGGCCGCGATCGGGGAGGAACAAAGGGCAGTGATGTCAAACAAACAAAGACTACACACATGTACACATTGTGGTACGTGGCGGTCACCAGGAACCACCTCGACACCGTCGGGCTGAGGCTGGTACCAGTGTCAGTGCTGGGTGGGGGCTGGGTTCAAGTGTTCAAAGGGTGGGTGGGAAGCATAATGAGCAGAAAAAAAGGGGGGGGGGTCATTTAAATATCTTCACAACAACAACAATCTCATGCTAAATTTGTTTTGTTGATGCAGATGTTTGCAGGGGTGCAGAAGAATCCCACCTGTAGTTACTGAAAGCAGAGAGGCTGTCACTTAAATCTACTGCTTCTTAAGTATAAATAGAAACAGAGTGCTAGCCCACCTCTCTCTGTACAAAACCAAAACAAAACATAATAGTCTTCTCCGTCGCCCACGCGTGAGCTGCTGCGGTGCTGGATCCAGCTTCCATCGGAATTCATAAACTCAAACTACCACAAACTAAACGGAGCTGCTTCAAAAAAAAAAAAAAAACACATGAAAAGTGAACACACAAGTTGTTTGTTAGTGAGGAAAAAGAGAGAGAGTGTGAGAGAGAGAAAGAGGGGAGGTGTTGGCAGAAGTCGTTAGGGTCCCCAGTCCTCATGGAAATGTTTCTCATTTCTCCCCGTGACACATGTGGGAGTATCTGACCCCGTTCACATGCGTGACCTCGCATGGCCTCGGTTATTGCCCGTCACTCTCAGCTTAATAAACTTGAAGAAGTTATTAAAGATGGCAAGAACTTATTCCTGCACTTAAAAAGCAAAGCCTGGCTGAGTTCTTGTGAGGWTGTCCATCAAGTCGTCAAAGTGATCCTGAGTTCTGGCACACATTGAGATAAAAGGTGAAAATAAATCAAATCAGTAAAGTATTTGGGAATAAAAAAAGTGCATGAAAATGAAAACACGTAATTAGTTTGCAGCGGTGCATGAGGGCAACACATCTAAAAGGACAAAAAAATAAATAAAAAAGATATTAAAAGTGTGCAAGTTATTGAAATCCACGCTTTTCAAATCACATTAATAAGAAATGATAAGAGTTATTAAAAATTCGGTGCACTCACCCATGTCCAGAAAGAAGTGCGAGTGGATATTGAGGTTTTAGCTGGATGGCTTTGTGACTGTGATATGAGGATATGAGGAGTTATTCCCCGCCACTCCTATATGAATCTGACTCGCGCTTTTGTCTCATCAACAATAGATAGACCACATCTCTCCCAGTCGCATCTTAAAGTCACAAAGTCCCATTTCAGCTMCCAGTCATTATTTATGTCGCCGCTGGGCTGAGGAAGGGGAGGTGAGAAGGGCGCCAAAATCCTCATCTGAACTCTTTTTTTTTTTGGTTTTTAATGATCTGAGTGGCATTTTATGATTCTAGCAACAATTGTTTTTATTATTATTATTATAATTTGGAAAAATTAAACAGCTGAATGAATGATCCATTTTTCTTCAATACTTTTTCAGCATCTCATTCTACAACTTTTGTGCTTTTTCAACAAATCATGTATCAAAACATTTAGCTCATTTATGCCACAGGAACCAAGACCTTTGGTGTTTCAGCAATCTATACTTTTTTAGCTAATTGTCTTTTTTTGGCTATTTTTTTTTCTCATTGAAATTAATGCAGCTGCTTCAACATCCTTAAAACCATTCAAAATGTTTAGAAAATGTCACTGCACTTTTCACCTTTTGTTCTGCCTTTTGGTAATTTTAGCTTTTTTGTGTGTTTCTCAACTATTTTTCTGTTAATTAAAAAATTTCAGCTTCTATCTGCTAATTTAAGGTTTTATGCTTCTTTTAGGTTATTTCTGCTAGTTTTGGTAGTTTTATGCTTTTTAGCTATGTGTTCAGATAATTTTAGCTTTTTCAGCTAAATTCACCTTTTTGTGCTAATTTCAGTGTCACTGCTTAATTTAGCAAATGTGGTTATTCTGCATCTTCATGCTTGTTTCAGCTTCTCACTTCTTAGCTATTTTTCTGCAAATTTTGGCTGCTTTAGCTGTTACAAGAAAATGCAACATTTTTGTACTCATTTTYTTTTTATTTTATTCTCTGTTGACATCTGCTAATTTCAATTTGTTTCTTCGTCTACTTTTGTTTCCTACTTTCAGCAGAAYTCAGCTGTTTAAATTTAACTCACAAACCAAAAATATCAGGCCCAGGCCYCCCTTGCAAAATAGATCTGTGCTCTCAATGGGATTTGCCTGGTTAAATAACGATAAAATAAATAAAAATACCAGTTTTGTTATTAAACCTTTTCAGCTTCTTAGCAGCTTTCAGGGAAAAAAACATTCAGCTTTTAGTATTCACATCTAATTTTTGCAGGAAATGCAAATTATCTAGTTTTTATACTTTACATCAAACCCAAAACTGAACTATTTTTACTTATTAAAAACATGCAAGAAACAATATCTGTAGGTTTGTTGTGTGAATATTTACTTTATTTTTTTGTGATCAATTCAAAATGTCTTAAAATTTTATTGCACACCTCCATAAAAACCAGTGAGCATTTATAGTAAAATGAATTTTACTGTTGTAGTAGCTGAGCGTCATCAAAAACAATTCAAGCTATGATAGGTGCAAATTGTTGCACAYAAGTTGGAAGGCCATGTGCATTCTCTACCAGTTTCCATTTATTTGCTTTTAGCACATATTTATGACTTTTTGTGCATGCTGGGTTAGCGTGCYTTAAGTTAGGTGTCACATTCACACACGCTGCTGTTACCTTTAGAGGTAAAAGCAGAACAGTTTGCAGCAGAAACGCAGAGGTTTGCAGACCACAGAGTGAAATAAATCCAAACGCCAGCGACTGACATTGATGAAGTTGGCTAACAAGGGTGACATTGACGGTTGGGTCCAGCTGCTGCCCTCCCATCCCCTCCAC